TGCTATCATTCTGAAGGACATTTGGGACCCGGAAATTAGTGCGATCGAGGTGATGGAATTGTTAGAGCAGACGTATGGATCAGCCGAAGTGAAGAGGATCCGGGAACTGATGCAGGAATAAACAGGCAAACCGTAGTTTATGCTTATAAGAATTGGTTCGATGCATTTGTGTGCTGATGTTGATGGCTTGGATGATGGATGTTAATAAAAGACCTGAGAAGTGTAACTAGGTAATTATTCATCTCCGGCCAGTACTGGTGGTCTAAGTCTGCTGCTCCGGGTATACTGATCTGACTCAGGAAATGCCCCCGGCTCAGGGGTCTGGCGCTCGAAAAAATGAACTAGAAACCTTTCACCGGGGATCAGGGGCCCGGCCAAGCTGTTTGTCAATCATTCTGGGGAAGTAAACTTATAAACACAATGTTGGGTAGTACACAGATATCATACTTGAATGGCCTAAGAGCACTTTTTGATAACTTGGATCAATCTGCTCGACAGGGAACCCGAAAAAATATATTCAGAAGGGCAGTGCGATCAAATAAAGGTATCTTTTCAGATCATTCATAGGTGCGGCCCTATTCTGATTGGTGGCATGACCAATGCCACTTTGGGGATTTCTAGCTTGGTGTTGGCTGGAGATATCAGCTCATTTTTTGTTCAAAAACAGATTACGCTGCAGGGATATACTTCTGGCACCCAGGCCTCAGGACAGGGCCACACTGCGATCGAAGTTGTTGAACCTCGCCCTATGGTGCTGTCACGTTGGTGATTGTCTTGATACTGAGATCGATTAACGCGAATATTTTGTAGGGTCAGGTGTGCAGAAGATATACTAGCGGCTTCTCATTAGGTGCTGCTTAGTTGAAATGCATACCGTGCGGCTAATAAACCACACGAAGTCCTAAAGTGAATTTGAGGGTGAAAAGATGAGTAACGTACCTATTGTTTCTTATGTGATTCATAATGCAAGGATGTGAAGCCTTTCTGTTCTAGAGACTTGACGGTGTCGCCTCCGACATGTGGTTTTGGGGATATTGTACTCTATAGCAACATTATAGACTTGCTGAAGTAAACCTAACGCATTAAGACTCGTCGTGGTCGTCATCTGGGATGGATCCGAGGAGCTTCGCTGCCCTTGACGCGATCAGCATGTCAGTCGAAACCATGGACAGCGGCCACATACCATTTAAAGGATTGGTACATGCATCGCTCGGAGCAGCTGATCACTGCTTGCTGCAGAGCAATTCGCAGCTCCGAGCGAATGTTCTTCGAAGTGCTCGTCTTTCCCAGGGCCAACTCCAGCTCGGGTAGCGTGAGTGCGCGACCAGATGAGACGTGTCAGGGATTAGCCGCCGTGGGTTCATTAGGCATAATGCGTTATGTGTAGCTCTTGTCTTGCACGTGGAGAGTGTGTGTACTGCAGATCTTGTACAGGTTTACCACGGGCCTCCTGGGAACTATGTGTTACTACGTAATCATTCACGTGTCTATGTTTCCTAGTGTATAGGCTGGCCGGGGATTGTACGAAGCCAGTCCAAAGCAGGTTGCTGACTGCTGACATGGTGTAGATGCCGTGTACTGCGAGTGCTCCAGCGGGGATGCTTCATCCGCTTCCGGCCTTTGCCTACCGTACTCTCTGACACTCTTTAGCTCCGTGAGAGCTCCCTGATTATCTTTTGAATTGCTATATCCACGCCTCCGTTCATCGAGATCTCTTGCAGTTGGTCGGAGCCGCAGCAGCACCGGCCCACTCACGAAGAAAGTCCTCAGTGACGAGATTTGTCTCTTATACTGGGCTGTTATAACTAACAGTTTCAGTCGCCGTGATATACCGCCGATACGAACTAGCCACACACACGCCTATGTGTTGAGACTTAGATCCAGAACGTTAATTTAACATCGGTAACTCCTTGCCTTAGTTACGCTTGACTGTTTTATACATGATGGTATCGAATCAAAGGAAATTGACTCGAGTGTTGACAATTATTTGTCACTAGCTGGGTCAAAAAGATGAGTCAGGTCCGTGAGGATCCATTTTCTGGTTCGTGGCGTTTGAATTGGACTATTTCAAGGGAAAGTTGGTACAGTGAGGGGAGTGGCAAGAGAAGATGTACGCATCTTCTCAGTTGTCAGACGGAATGAGGCCCGTGGCTTCCTGTGGCTTGAGACATGATCCTCACAACTACAAAGCCTATCATACGAAGAATTGACGAATCTTGTTCAATATTTAGGACACAGTGACCGGAAAATATAACAACGGGTACGCAACAAATTCAGTGCGGTTACACTAGCTAGGGCTGACCTCATAGCTCCGCCCTTACGGGCGTTTCTGATTTGCTGTGGGTCGACTTTACGACAAACTGGGCTGGTGAGAATTTCTCCATTAACTAACCTAGACACACAACAAGTATTGCATTTGAATACTCTTGGTTGCTGTTTTGTAATTTTGATAAAACTTGGTCAAGATTGAATCAAGTGCGGGAAGGGCAGCCCTCCTATTAGTTTTGTCGCTGCATCAGAAAGCTCTCGAATCTCACGGTCGCCCAGTCAGCATTGGTATTTGGTTCGTTGTTCAATATCCGATTGGACATTCTATACCCGCTGACAATTCTACGGAGGCTTGACCAGTACAATCGTAGACCGCAGTCATCCTGTGGAGGCTTAAAAGAAAATCCTTCATCATGAATCTTGTGATCTCTAAGGGATTGTGAAGAGCCTTGGCACGAGAAGAATGTGTTCAGAATAGGAAGTTAACCACTCAGCACCAAGACTTTCAATAAGCAACCAGCCGAGGTCGAAGGTGGTCAAAGAACAGAAGAATGGGCTTGAAAGCAAACAGAGCAGACACTGACAAGGGTTAGCGGTCGGAATGATGTGCCGTCTTATTGATCGAACAAATGTGAGCCCAAGACAGAACATTGGTGAGCTCAGAGAATATAAAAGCAAGCCGATATCTCCAGCTCAAGGTATTCTTGACCATATATTTCAACAGCATCTCAACAAACGCATCTGTGTCTTCCGCCAAATCCCGCCTAACTTTGTTCCAAGAAAAGGTCAAGATGGTTCAACTCGCCTTCATCATTGCTTCAGCGGCAGCCCTTGCTACTGGCGTGGTTGGGTTTCCAGATACTTGCACACCAGGACAGTTTTACTGCGGTTCTCAACTGTTGAACGGCTCTGGTGCCAGTGAGTTCATACAATATCGACTGAATACAAGTCCCATCTAATCTCTCTGCAGACTTTGAGCTTTGGAAAGGCCGCATTGACGCAGCACTGGCAGAGCGCGGCCTCCCCGCTGACGGAGAGCACGAGTTCAATAGTCTCTTCTTCTGCAGTACTCCCACCACTCTTGCACTCGATGAATTTTGCTTTGATCAGCCAGGAAACCGGTGCCAGCCGGCAAACTCCAAAGCATGCGCTGGAAGCAACCCAAACAACTTGAATGACTGCTGTGGTCCTAGCATATAAAAATCAAACGTTTCCACGAGGAGCAGTGAAATCCGTATACCGGTCTGAATCATACTTGCTCGATGAGATAGAGAATAAGGGCTGAAGAGGGAGGGATTTTTAGTGAGAACAAAATAGGGGGAACAAGACCCCATCCGATTTCTTTCGTATACAGTATATTCGCTGGCCAGCAATTCAATCATTTGAGACTCCAAGCGAACAGTTGCGCTGATGGTTTTTGAGCGGCAGAACCCGCTGTTCAACACATTCCCATCCCACCCCTATGGCCTTCATTGCTTTGGTATGTCGTAACTAGCTTGGTTCACCCCGATTTACTGTGAATCATCTACCTGGTAGAGAAATATAGATATGGCATGTTTAGCCCTCTTCCTTCTCACACTCGATCACTGCCAGTGTCTTCCACAAACCTTTCTCTTTCAAGACACTGGATATTCACAAGCCAGAGGCAGACAGTATTTGCTGCCAGCACTGAAGAGCCACCACTATTAGATCAAGTCTCGTTGCTAAGGCACTTGGCGAACTCTCCAAAGGCACCTAAATAGTATGAGCAACAACGGAATGCCTTTTATTTAGTGGATATCCAGGGTCAGACCTTTCAGTGGTAGATCTTGATGAAAACCGATGGCCATGGTTTGTAAACCGCGAAGCTTGGGGCCCTCGAGGGATGTCATAGCCTCCAGAACCTCGGCTCTTCCGCGTTGGAGCTCCTGAAGGTCGAGGGTATCAAGGAGCCCTTGACACCCTAAACCCCGTTCTGGAGACGTAGCCGTAATACCTCCGTATGAGAACTAACTGCTGCACTGCGGGCACATCGCTGCGTTCACTGGCGAACTTAAGCGGGCTCGAGGGCTGAGAAAGCTGCCCAGAAATTCCCATTTATGGCATTGATCTGAGGGAGGGTTGTACTATGGTTCCGAGAGCCTGGACACTATTGACGGGGGGTTGGCTAAAATACTTTTAGCCTGTCAGAGATTGCGTCCTACTGTTGGGCTGTTGGTCGTATAGTGTCTATTGGATACCTAGACCGGATGTCTGTGTTGGCTTGTTAAGGCTGTATGAGTAATGAACTTAGGAGATCTATATAGTAAGATGAGATCTTCTGAAAGAGAATTGAAGGCATTGTTTTGCTGCTAAGTATATGTTTATCATGGATGGTTGTAAATGAATGAGCCGAGGGGCTAGGGCTTGGCTGTGTAAAGAAAAGGAAGCCTAATTATAAGCTGTCTGCTCTAAAGAGATCTGAGTCAACCTCCCTCCAGTAGGTAGCTAGCTACTGGATAGCAGAAATAAAACAGCAGCAGCATCCCCCTTACTCGTCCCTGACCGTTTCATTTATCCCCCTGTGGCCTGTCGACAGTTGATGTGACGATACCAACCCCTTTCTCCCATTTCTCATGAACTACAGCCACCAATCATGGTCTGCGACGAATCTAGCCTTCTTCCCTCTACTCCCCGAGCCTAATCTTGGCGCTGTCAGGCAGAGCACGCTCGGCTGCCTCGGCAGCAGTGGCATTCGCAGGCGGATCGGCCTCCTACCACGTGCAGGGCGTACTGCTGAAGGTGGTCTGGTACGTGGCGTGGAAGTCGCTCTCTTCGATGACCTTGGTGCCCATGTTGTGCAGGCACAGCTTCTCACCCGAGATCCTGATAAAGTGGCCGCGCGAATGGCCCCAGTCGATACAGAATTCCTTGACGCCCGCAACCTGGGTGGCGCCGTGGCAGCCCTCGTCGAAGTTGGGGACGTAGTACGACGTGCCTAGTTCGTCGTTGAACCAGGACCCACGGGCGCAGCAGGTAGTGCCGACGACTTGCTCCCAGTTGACGACCCAGCGGGTAGCAATGACGGGCGTGACGGCGAGAAGGACAGAGGTCGCGAGCATAGAGACATGCATGTTGTAGGTTGTGGGGTGGGATTGTATTCAATACTGAACCTTGAGGGGAGAAGAACTTCGAGTGTATGATAGTGGGGATAGTATTTTCTTGATGATGAAGAGGCCATAGTGAAAGGGAGGAATTCAGGAGGACGAGAAACCCGTGGTTTGACCACTCTATTAATAACGAATAGATTTTACACGGAGCGTATTCGCCTTTGAATAAGCAGATCAGATACGACAGCGCCTCGGCCTATTCCAGTGGTGGATCGGCGTACATCGAATACGCGGTACCCTGTACATGCGTATCGGTGGTGAATTCGTCATCTTCGTCATATTTACCAGGGAGTATCACAAAAAGTTGACTACAACCCTATCTTTCTATATCTTACAAGACTATAAGGTAGCTGTGTTAGTTACGTAAGTCCGCCTTCCCATATAGTAAGTGGTATAATTTAATGATCGAATTGGTCTTGGGACAATATGCATGATTGCATATCGTTATTGTATCTAGTCTTTACTTTTGAATTAAAACTTTGGGACATTCTGAAATGACTTGAGCGTTATTGACGTGGTGACAACACTAAGATAATCCACGCATTACTACCGCGCAATAGTTGCTTAAGTAACCACCAAGAGATCCTAGCGCGATAGACGTCATGGAATCGCAAACGCACATAAGCCTCATGAGAAACAAGATACCATTACATCCTTGGACTTATGCCTTGCGATCAGATATGCGTATTGGCGGACATGTCCTTCCAAAAGCTACATCTAGCATGCTCGTATGCTTGTACTGCTTCCATAGCGGTTGCGTTTGTCTGTAACCGTAGCCTGCGTCTACATCCGTAAGTTTCCCACTTCGGAGAACCGCTGTCTTCATTGACAGGTAAGTGTCCACTTGTCAAAGCAAAGTCAGTCCAGTACTTCTGCATTTGACTGACGATTTTATGGTTAGAACCGCCTGCTTCGTAGCTGGTTGAACCGGGAAGAGCGACGTATGATGTCGCATACTCCGGGCCCCAAACTGCCTGGACCTCCCAGGTATGCGGAACTATGAAACCAGCTGCCAGTTCAACTGGGTCAACGATGTTGTCACGAAATAGGTAAATTTTAACGCCTGCAGCGCCCAATTCAGAAGCGAGATTTAGCGTTGGGCAAGCATATCCCGTATCACCATACATCATGGCGGTCCTATAGTATAACGGTGACTCTGCAATAGTAACACCTGGAAAGGTCTGCGGCACACTTGAATAGAGAGCATTTGCCTCTGCTAAATTGGAGTCGGTCAAGTCTGGGTATTGAGTCTTCATGAATTCATCAACCTCGTCGGTAGTGTTTGCCTGGGGAGTAAAAATGGTTCCTTCAGTGTGAGATGAACCCATGACCAGTGGCCTATGTTTAGAAAAGTTTCCAGCTCGAAGCATCGCATATGGCGTGTCAGTGAAGAACTTCCCGTCAATGACCGGTCCGTATGGGAAAAGGGGTAAAGCTGTCTGGCCAGGAGCCATACCTGCGATGTTAGCGGCTTGGACCTCCGTAGAATTGAGGGTACGTAAGCAAGCAAGGTCCGCGCAATTTGTCGCATCCAGCAGCTGGTAATACTGATATTCGAGATCTTCAATGCCACGCAAGGGAGGTATGTAGACGGCTTCCGCAATACCAGCGACCCATTCGATATTATCTTCTTCAGGAGGATTGCCGCCGTATGCCAAGGTCTGAAGCAGCACGCTTCCACCGCCAACAGAGGTACCAAAGAGAGTGATTTTCGTAGGATCGCCGCCAAACTTCGCAATGTGATTCTGGACCCAACGTATCGCCGATCTTTGGTCCAAGAGGCCTAGGTTCAGGTTGCCCTCTTTTGCAAGTTCTTTACTGGCGAGAAAGCCATAGGGACCCACGCGATAGTTGAAGGTGGCCACGATGACTTTTCTGCCACTAGCTTCTATAAGACCAGAACCGTTGTAGTTGGGATTGAAAAGCTGAACGAAGGCACCCCCTTGTAACCAGAGCATTACTGGAAGGCCCTTGCGATCCGAGTCGCTTAGATTGGAGGGGACATAGACATCGATGAAAAGGCAATCTTCGGACAGCGGCAAGGGGACGGAACCAAATGCAAGCCCCTGGACGCCATAACAGATAGGGCCGTGCTGTTTTGGTCATTGTCAATAGAGCGAAACAAAGTGAAGCCCATGTGGGTAAGATCAGACCTCTTTGGCTTGAATAATACCAATCTCTGCTTGCGGCTCTTTTGCATGTCGAAATCGGTTTTCGCCGAGAGGAGGTGCGGCATATCGCATGCCCAGAAATTGATCAATTCCGTTCTCCAGTGCCGTGCCCTCGTATGTAGCATATCCAAGGTTGACTCTGGGCTCGGCCGCACTTTGCCTGAACAGCAGCAGGACTGTCATCCATCGCAGAGCTATTGATGAAAGCCCCATCATGTAATTATGGACAGAAAAGCCTTATATGAAACGATTGCAGTGAGATGAGCGAAGTAACAGAATGTAGACAAGGAGTTTGAAAGGGTGTTAAAGCTACTAGGTACGGATAATATCTACGACCGTCTGAAAAAAAAAAAAAAAACATTAAATCGTAAAATTTCTAACTCCATTTTGTGCAAAACTTGTTGTAGTTGCCTGTCACGTCTGAATTACACAATGTGCGGAAAGTTTCCGTCCTGGTTTTAGTGATTACGATATTTCCAATTACTTAATCACCAACTGTACCTGCCGAGCATGACGGGAAGGATTCCGTCCCTAGGTTGTTTTACAAATCCAACCTCTACAAGCAATAGGTACCCACTCATGCTCAAGAGCCACAATCCCAGTCAATTTGCCTCCCTAAACCTAGAAACCATACATTGTCTGCGATATGGACCGAGCAATTACATGTGTCTAACTCATTGGTTTTGTAAATAGCTTTGTCACGCGAGATGACTTCTTTGCCCCATTTGTGATAACCTCGCCAAGTTGAGGGCAACTTCGGTATCATTTGTAGTTACCTATTACGTAGCTTGTCTTGATTGCTGGAGCAGGCAAGCTTGGCAAGGCTGTGCTCAGGGTCTAGTTCTTTCTCCAAGCGACAACAAGATGTCCAAATTCCTGCTCTATACGACCCGAGACTCTTAGATCGCCGATTCTGGCCAAGAAGCAGGAAACTAGCGAGATACAATCTATGTGGACTTATAGAGAGAAGGGTTTCCGCACGCCAGAAGTTTCCATCAGTTAATATCGCCATATAGTGCGTTGATAAGAGCATGCCTAGAGACACACAGGTCAAAGTGACCAGAGTAGCTTTGTAGACTGGCATGCGGAGGTATCTCCCTTAGCAACTTTAGCTAGCCTTAGAGGTTATAGGCGGGCAACTACGACGGAATAGTTAACGATAATAAGCTTGTGAGGAACATGCCACGCGAGCAGAATGAGACAGGCTGGACTGTCATCTTCATTGGCTTATTCATGTCATATCTCTTTCTCCCATCATTTAGAGTCGTAGATGTCAAGAATAGAGAGGTGAAGGAATTAGGAAGTTGGGAGAACAAGACCACCACCACTATGCCTGAACATATTGGAATAATGGTCGCTGAGTTGGTATATGACCCTTGCACGGAGCATATGGTCTTTCTGAAAGGAGATACCATCTCATACAGAAGGCTGGCTGACATGGTCGAGGCTCAGTTTGGCGTCAAGTTCGCGAAGGCCTTATGTGGTATACCGATGCTATAGGGAGACGGGGAAAAAACCCTGGCAGTCTTTCGAAAAGGTATAGAGTGGTATTTGGAATTGGGGATGGCATCTTCTGGGAGAAGGACAGAAGTCTTAATTTTCAGAGAGACATTCCCTTAACAGACGTCAAAGCATAACTCAAAGAGAATAGCAGCGTCGTTGAAAGCTTGGAACTGACAATTTAGGTGTCGTCTTGCACGACCAATCGGTCTTTTCTGTCATTAAGTCTCAACCTTCCTGCAACCGCATACCTTTAATGCACCTCTATGATACCTACAATGCCGAACACAAGCGTTAATCATGTACAAGACAGCGTCGAAACTTTGAGCGGAATCGGGGGTAGGTTTGTGAGAGCGGACTTTGCAGTGACAGGAGCACTTCGCAGAATAATACAAACGTCTCTAGTACAAAACCTTGCACAGACTACTTTTTACCTCACCTGTCAATCAAATTGGTGCTTTTTGGCGTAGATGTTATAGGCAAAGGAAGTCAATGTACTTTTCAAAATTCACCAATTAGGAGGTTCGCAAAAGTCGGCGGGAATGACAACAAAAAGCAGCCCCCAATGTTTGTTCTGATACGGTAAATCACCGCGAGCTGCTGTAGGCCGGGTGCCTCAGCCGTAAAACACGTAACAGGAAACGCACAATCCGCTGTTTCAGGGCCAAGCTAACATGAGCACAAGCGCGGCTTGCGAAGATTGTGCGGGCAACCTCAATTGAGATCAGTCAGGAGCCAGATAGCGCTTACAAACCAGATAGTGCTGACGCCGCCAATCCATCAGTGGATCTGGAGCAAGCTACTCGCAGACCCAGTGAAAGGGTATCTCTACATGACCAACCCATTGGATTGTATCCAAGTAGGTCTGAGACTTATTCGAAGTTAAGATATCTTTGTTGGTCTTTAGATAGCATGAGGTGTGTTTGAAGATGGGTATCGCTTCGTTACGCAGGACGGATGGCCTACTCAGCCCTACGCGTTGTAAGCCCAATGCGGTATTGCCATGTCTCGCGTGGCGCTGAAATGGCAGGTTACTAAGGCCGTTTGGTGCGCACCAACTTGCCACAGATGGTAATTGCGTGCTGTCCGATAGGCTGGATCGGTCATATTGAACTGTTTAGTTCCTGGTTTAGTGCCATGCCGCCTGTTTTGTGGCGGCCACTAGCTAGGTGTCCGACGTGGATCAATGCTCCTTGCTTGATTGCTTGAGTGGACTCAACGGTTCTGCCGGCGAGATTGTGCTGCTAACACCGGGTCGGCATTTTGCTGTTCATAAAGCGCATTCTCCCCGATCTTTTCATTGACCTCTCCCACGCTGTTGATTCTTCTCCGGTATCCGCGGAATCGGGTCTTGTTACTCCCTTCTAACGGCCTTTGTTCTTTGCTGTTTAGCTTGGAGGCTGTCCACGATGTCCGAAAGCCTTCCGGCGTCTGCGCATGGCCGAGGCTACCTGCCAAACCTTGCCTCCTGGCCAGTCCTCGTAGTCTGCTTTCTCGTATTCATCGCATACCTCTACGTTTCCCACTTCCCAAAACCTTTGCCAGGCAGCATCCCATACTATGCCCCCTCAGCCAAGCGTCTGCTGGGCGACGTCCCCGAGCTGCGCAAGTACTATGGTACGGGCACGTACCGGCGCTTCTACGGCCATCGCCAGCAACAGCTGCAGAGTCCCATCTCGCAGGTCTTCCTGTTCCCGTACAAGCGGCCGTTGGTGCTCGTCACGGATATCCGCGAGGCGCACGACATTGTCTTCCGGCGGCATCGCGAGTTTGACCGCTCGCAAAGGAGCTGCGACATCTTCGGCGTCATCGGCAAGGATTTCCACCTGGCAATGACGTCGCGAAACCCCAAGTTCAAGGGCAATAAGGAGATTTTGCGGGACTTGATGACCCCGAGCTTCCTCGATGCGGTGTCTGGGCCGCACATGCATGCCATTACCACGTCGCTGGTGGGGATTTGGAAGTTGAAGATGGAGAGGGCCAAAGGGAAGCCATTCTCGGCGTACGATGACGTCCACCACGCAGCGCTGGATATCATTCTCGCAGCGGCATTTGGTATCGACGATGATGACAGTGCCACTCACAGGCAACTTGTGCATCTGGAAATTGATAATCAAGTGGTTTCTGTCCAAGAAAATGGTGCCGACATCGTCAAGTTCCCAGTCAAACCGCTCCCGGATGCTTATCAGGCGGTCCTGGACGTGACGAACACGGTGCTCATCGGCACGACGAGTCCCTTTCCTGCCTTCCATCACTGGGTAGTGCGCAACACGACCATGCGTCGCACTTTCAAACTGAAAGAGCGCCTTGTCGACAGCGAAATTCAGAAGGGAGTTGACCGCCTGGTGCGCAACGATAAAGAGGCAGCGAAGGAGGATTGTGCGATGGACAGGATGATCCTCCGCGAGGTAAACCTGGCAGAAAAGGAGAGAAGAAAGCCCAACTTCTTCCAACCAAGAATGAGAGATGAGGTCAGCAAAGCCCCTTGATGACCTTCGCTTGCCCCACTGACACACTAGACAGCTATTCGGCTACATAGCAGCTGGACATGACACGTCCTCTACCACAATGGCTTGGATGATGAAGTTCGTGGCCGACAACCAGGATGCTCAGGCGAGGCTGCGCCGTCAATTGAGGGCATCATTTGCCTCTGCCGCAGCCGAGAAGCGACAGCCCACGATCGCGGAGATCACTCGATCCCCGGCTCCGTATCTCGACGCTTTCGTAGAGGAAGTTCTGCGCCTCTCCGAGACAATTCCCATGGTGATTCGCGAGTCGATCGTCGACACGACTGTCCTTGGCCATTTCATCCCCAAGGGAACGTCGCTGTTGCTCTGTGAGTCTGCAAAATGCTCTCAACGGATATTGTGCTGATTGCCTTATAGACTACCACGGCCCCGGCGGCCAAACTGAACCCGCCTTCCCCATCCCGCAATCTCTGCGCTCTGAAGGCGAGCGCAACGCAAAGGACCCCGTGCCAGACTGGGACCCGACAACGATCCGTCAATTCCAGCCCGAGCGCTGGCTCAAGCGCCGGTCGCGAGACTCATCATCAACATCGGCACCGGTCGACGCTTCCGAGCTCGACGGCCGACATGATGAGTTCACCGATGTCGAGTTCGACTCGCAAGCGGGTCTCTTCTTCACCTTCGGCGGCGGACCGCGGGGCTGCTTCGGGCGCAAGCTGGCGTATCTCGAGCTGCGGGTGGTGCTCGCGATGCTGGTATGGAACTTTGTATTTGAAAAGTGCCCGCCGGAACTGAGCTCGGATCATGGCATTGACAAGGCGACGACCATACCAAAGTATTGCTTCGTGAAGCTACGCCCGGCAAACTAAGAGGGAGCAACAAGAGAGGTTTAATATTTAAACGGAAAATGGGACCGGCGTCTTTGATGATTGATGCATGTCGCATACCAGCATCATTTGCGGCTTGGCGTTGGATGGGGGCCAAGGCGGCCTGCTCTCTGCTTAATGGCGGCGCAAGAGACTGACGAGCAACGAATATATGTCAAGAAAAGACCTTATTGAATAAGACATGTTATCTGAAAATGTGCAGGGGGTATCTCGTCGGCATTTACTACACCGCCGTGTCAAACATTCAACCCCATCGTTCCAACGCCAAAGTTCGCCCATCGCCTTGCTGCCTCAGTATACGAATACAAACTCCTCATTCTTCAGGTCCGTCAAGTTCTCGAAAGCCCGCTCGCCGACTCTGCTGTCCCCGGCAATGGCGGCCCCCTCTGTACTATTGCTTTGGCCCGTCGCAGCTTGGGCCGCCCGTCTTCTCTCGATCTCCTCCGGTGCATCCAAGCTCTCGTCCACAATGATTGCACTCTTGCCCAAAGCAACACGCCGTCTCGCATGCGCCTTGTTGAGAGCAAATAGGTAAACACTCGTGATCACGCACAAAAGCACGATAACGATGTAAAGAGCAAGATTACTGCGCAAACCACGATGATAGCCAGGCTTCTCAGCCGTCGTATATAGGAGTGGTCCGACAACATTACCCGTGCTCTGGCCGATGAACATGATCGCGCTAGTACACTTACGCTTGGTGTCACCGGCAGTGTTCTGGGCGGACCAGGCATAGATGAGAGGCGTGATGCCTGGGTAGACCGATATCAAGTAGTAGCCTACTAGCAAAGCTGCTTTGTGTTCTGCTGTATGTGAGGTGACCATGAGAATGATGCATCCGATAATAGGCGGAATGCACAGCAGCACGATGACGGGGCCTTTTTTCTTCAACCCACGCGCCAGGAACGCACCGCCGATGGTAGCAATCAGTTGCACGGCGCCAAATGGAATGTTGAAGAGGATAGTCTGGAATGAATCGAAACCGAAGGACTTCACAATGAGCGGGCCAAATGTCGATATGCCCCCGGAAGGAATACTAGCTATGTTAGTGACGATAAATATCCTCTACGATAGGACTTGGCTCACGAGATCGAAAAGAGTAAGGCAAACCAGCACCACGTCTTCAGGTCGATCAAACTCTCCTTCAAATGATCCCACCGCCATTCCCGAGACATGACCCCCATCTGATTCATCCTTAGACGCTCGATAGCAATGAGCTTCTCGTGATCCTTCAAAAACTTGGCCTCAACCGGCGAGTCTGGCATGAATGCAAACATGACAAACGAGAAGGCAACGGTGATCACACCGAAGAAGAGAAAGATGATCTAACATCGTTAGTCCGTAGAACTCAAGATTATAGGACGGCCGCGCCTGCATACCTGGTATGGCTTTAGGCTGGAAGAGATGTGACCTAACCCGTAGGTAATGAGACTGCCAAACTGTCACGACATTAGCTCGCAATGTCTTCCAACTAAGATGAGCAGTCAAGCCTACCATATTGGTAACACCATTCATAGCATACCAGTAGGACACTCGGACAGTCTGCTCTCTTCGGCGCCACCACATTTGAGTGATAGCAACAAAGCTGGGCGCTACGCCGGCCTCGAAAGCACCGAGGAAAAACCGCGTGGTCACCAATCCCCCAAAGTTGTGGGCAGCGGCCATGCAGGACAGCGTCGCGCCCCAACACAGCACCATGACACTGGTGAACTTGCCAATTGGCAACTTGACGAGGAGCCATGCCAACAGCGGCTGCATGATCAACTGCGCAAGGTAGACAATCGATCCCAGCCAACTATATTCTTCCGAGTTCGGGTCAAGACCCGTATCCTCAATCAGTCCAAAGACAGACGCGTATGCCAATGTTGCCTTATCGAGACCTTGTAAGAAGTAGACAGTGAGCATTATGGGGAGGATAACCATATCGATGCGTCGCAGCACGTGTCGATTATCCTCAGCGGTGACAATGATTCGGGCGCCGCCGTCGGCATCTTGCGTCTTACGGAGGAGCTCGGCAGCGGCATCGAGTCGGTGATTGTGACCGGAAGGTGAAGCATGTTCGATGGTCTCGAGTGTAGGCTTGGCCGTCTCGGTGTCCCCGCCAGGTGAAGCCGAGGTGACCTCGTCGTCTTTCATGGCATCGATATCGTTGTCGTTTTCGTCGTGTACGGCGACTGGTACGTATCGGAAGTTGGAGGAGGACGGGATGAGACGAGCAGAAGACGACGAGGAGGAAGAGGAGGAAGAGGAGGAAGACGACGATGATCGGGAATGGAGGACATTATGAACAAACCCTGCCATAAGGGGAGGAGGGCAAAGGTGGTGCTCGACGAGTCGGTGACAAGAATGGCATGAGCCAGGTGCACGACCACCAGCTCCTGCAGCTTGTTTGGTACTACGTCGGGAGAGAAAGTATGATAGGATCAGGTATGGCAGGTAGGTTCAGCCAGATAAGCTTGAGCAAGGTAACCCAAGGTAGGCTGCGGCTACCTGGTTTAACCCGCTTGAGCTACCGAACGGCAGCCACACTCTGTTGGATGACTGGCGATGCACAGCACAAGCCGAGTACCACTCTGCGAGTGCGTTCGTCGTCTTCACCGCAACCGAGCAACTGCCGTCTATGTGAAGCCGTATAATGGTGTGTGGAGATCGCTGAATCTGGGGAAGACTAACGGACGGGGGGCATTTAGTGCTCCCTGGTGGAGCAGCACTATTGCAACGAAAGAGGCGATTGATAATGGGATTTCGAAATAGAGAAGTTGGAGATGAATGGAGGACGAGAAACAGGCTAGACGCCGCGATAGATAGCGGGGAAGCCGCATGCCATACCACCACCACCCTACCATCCTCCACCAACGAGAGCCACCAAACTTGGCTTCAGACGGGCTGCTCTGGGCAGGGGTTTTTCGGTCCATGGCCCATTTCGCGTGCATGTGCTGGGCGCCACCAACGTCGTCTTGCGTGGTGTTTCGGCCGTGCAACGAAGCCGCTGGACAATCATTAGAGGTCAGGCTGCCATCCTGCTGTGTGTCCTGCGACCATCAGCATGATCAGTGGCTGCCTCGGCTGACAATAGGCGGTCAGAGGACGGGGACGAGCTTTGATAGCCGGGCGCAATGCTGTGATACGACACCAGAGCAAACTGCAGGATTGATTGACGGGATCGCCGCTATCCCGTAGCTGATCATGAATGCTTTACGCAGGAGACAAGCCACTGAAGCCGTAAATTCACGCTTCCGCAAACTCGTGAGATTTGCCGGTTATCCATCGAGCCAGCCAGGCCTTATCTCCCGTCCTGCACCCGCGATCGATAATTGAATGCACGGGCATCCGTGCTATTCCGTAGATGCTGCCAGTGAGTTAGGTAGTTAAAAGTGAAGAGTCGTCCATGATGAATGACGGCGTTTATAATGAAACCTCGTCCCCCGGGCATCACGGGAAAATAAAATGAAAAGAAAAGAATCATGGTTATCGAGCATGATGCTGGCGGCGGCTAACTTCCTTCCTTTTTCATCCCATTCAACAGGGTCTACTGACTATCTTTCCGGAAGGAGACATCGCCGCATTCATTTCATCTGCGTCGTTCCTTCCAAAATGGCTTATTTACTTGCGAAGAGGCTGAACTCTATCTCAACTACCAACTCCCAAGGTTGGAAGGCATCATCAGACACGTCCAGCTTTCCTGCTTTCTCAGCGTCAAGCAATGCCGAGTCACCAATTGAGCAGTGGCACTTTGAATCGGAGGCAATTCTTCAGATGGTAGGATCTGTATAGGAACTTGCTTGCAAATGCCTAACCTAGGTGAGCTTTTTCTTTGTAGGTTTGTGTCGGGGTTCAATAGCCGTCCGCTTGTCCTGGGCATCGTCGAAGTCCGCTGACTTGTTTTCTAGGCCAGACTCAGACTCTGATCAAGCATGTGCCAAGAGAATTGGCCTTCTCTCGCGCGATGATTGGCGTCCTGCGCAGTCCCTTTAAGTGAGCCTTCTTGCGCTGGTCTTTTACGCCGAGGACTAGGGGTTTTCCACAATTGCGGAGTGAGCAGATCAGCTGACGGACGACATCTTCTCTGGCCTACGGCAATTGCCTGCCTTTCAACACCAAATTCAAGCCTTCAGGAGCAAAGCCCCCACGCATTCAGCAGCAGGCCTCCCACTTCCCCGCAACGGCAGCTGTTCTAGCTTGCCAGCCCCAGATCTCGCCTTGATGGCGCTGATTCACAACATCATCTCCTCCCAGCTCAGGTTCGGATCGTGCCCAGGAGGCAAATCTTGATTCAGTATGAGGAAACCATGCCAAATTTAGAATCATGGGAACTTCCTGTATCACCTGCTATTACCGTTCATCTGCCCCGGCCTTCACCTTACGCCGAAGTCGGACGTCCACTGATAAAGACTTCCCTGGCTCGGGGAGGCGGGTGGCTTCCTGACCTCTTACCAAGGGCGCTATGTCCCCCAGCGGTTCGACGGCCCAGGTCTGTCAAGTGTCACAAAGCAGCGAGTCAGCTTGGACAGGTTGACTGTGCTCCGGACCACGGCTCTCCCTGCGATTCTCAGTCCTGATTGAACCCTCACCACCTGCCCAAGTGGACGGGTCTTTTAATGTGGTCCAGGTGGCATGCCCAGACACGGTCAGCTCACGGCCAATGAGCCAGCCCCGTGATGTCTTGGCATCCCCTTTTCCAGAACCATGCATCAAAACCAGGGTGCTACAGAACAGCGCATCGAAACAGCACCCTCGATCATCGATCATGGGCTCTTCTTCGTTCAACTATGCTTCTATCGTGCATTGGCATTACCTTTGATATTGCTCCATGTGTCTCCATCGGCCCCGGTGGCTGCATTTGGGGTCCACTAATTGTGGTCTAGTTTGCACCTCGCGACGCAGCCATCCCGCGGGATGGGCCCCGACTTGGGCGCCGATTCTCCACTAACTTGCTCCGATGCCCCCGAGACCCCTCCTGTAAGCCACCGAGTCCAGGTCCGATGACCCTCTTACCAGGTTTTCTCGGTGTCATCGTCCTTAAGCTTTCTGTTCCTGGTCTCCGTCCTTGGTCTCAGGTCGAATAAAACCTTAAATGTGAGGATCTTCCCGCCCCTTCTCATTCTTACCAAGAACTTTTCCTTGTATCTCCCTCGTCTTTCCCGCTCGTTGGTCACTCTTGATCGCCAGGAACGGAAACTGTGTTTGGAATAGGAATGGAACGAGACGCTGTCAAGTTCTGTGACTTGCTTCTCACCTTATAGTCTTCTCCGTATCATTATCTGCTTCAATATGCTGCATCAGTACGAACGTGTGCCTCACCAGTATGTTCTGGTAGAGGACGCCTCGCCTTCGAAGCCAGCTCCGTCCATTAAGCTGTCCTCTACTGATACGAGCATCCCACAATCATTTGACTTTTGCTTTGAGGCCATCTGTCCAAATGTCTTTCGCACCACATTTTCATCCAAAACCCACCCGATCCCCTTATATCCAAGCGCCAAACGTCCTGAGGTCAATTTATCAGGTGTTATTCCGGATATCGTGGAGGACATGGCTTCTTGCAATAAGATCATCAGCTTTGGTTCCACAAAGGCCGTGATTGAATGGTCAAATGCACCTGTGGTATCTCTGTTTCTCGATGGCATGCAAAAGCCCATACATCGAGATCTCCACTTCCGCTCGTATGCAGTTGACGACACCGGAATAGCGCATTACACAACCTACAAAAAGGACACTTTGCACGTCGGCCTTGGCGAGAAGGCCGCACCCATGAACTTGAGTGGCCGCGGTTTTATCATCTCAGCTAGTGACACTTTTGGATATGACGCCTATCGGACTGACCCCCTTTACAAGCACATCCCACTTCTCATCAACGTCACCCCACAAGGCTGCGTTGGGATCTTCTCCACGTCCCACTCTCGCGGCACGTGGGCCGTGGGGTCTGAGATTGATGGCATGTGGGGTCACTTCAAGGTCTACAGACAAGCTCACGGAGGGCTAGAGGAGTATACGATCATTGGCAAGACGGTAGCAGATGTCGTACGGTCATACGCAGACCTCGTCGGCTACCCATTGCTGGTGCCACGGTATATGATGGGCTATGTTAGTGGAGGTATGAAGTATAGCATGGAAGATCAGCCCAAGGCAGCAGATTCGATCCTGGGCTTCATCAAGAAATGCGAGGAGCACGATATCCCCGTTTCCGCCTTCCAGATGAGTTCTGGATATACTGTGGCCGAGGTTGAACCCAAGACTCGCAACGTGTTCACTTGGAACAGGCACCGTTTTCCGGACCCACGCGCTTTCACACGAGAGTGCCACAAGCACGGAGTCAGGCTGCTGGCCAACATAAAGCCATACGTCTTGGATTGTCATCCCGAATACCAACAGCTCGCGGAAACAGGTGCCTTCTTCAAAGATCCGATCACGAAGAAGACCGCAATTGCTCGTCTATGGAGCGCTGGTGGTGGAGAGAGTGGTGAAGGCAGCCACATTGACTTCACAAGCAAGGCCGGTTATAACTGGTGGTACGATGGATGCCGCGCTCTCAAAGATGTTGGCATTGATGCGATGTGGAATGATAACAACGAGTATAACATTCCGAGTGACGACTGGCAGTGTGCCTTAGAGACTGTGCGGATACCTAAGGGGCAAGCGAGGAAAGACCTCGGCTTGTGGGGCAGAGCCATGCACACTGAGCTTATGGGAAAAGGCTCACATGATGCCTGCGTTGATGCAGAACCAAATGTTCGTCCTCTTGTTCTGACACGTAGTGCTACCGCCGGCACTATGCGCTATGCCGCCTGCTCCTGGAGCGGCGACAACGTGACAAGCTGGGAGGGGATGAAGGGCAGTAACGCCTTGGCACTGAACGCTGGCTTCTCACTTCTCCAGGTAAGTTGAAATCGCTTTGTTGAGAGTATCGTGTACTTATTAACTTTGCGTAGTGCTATGGTCATGATATTGGTGGGTTCGAGGGACCTCAGCCTACACCAGAGCATCTAGTTCGGTGGATCCAGCTGGGTGTTCACAGCCCTCGCTTTGCAATCAACTGTTACAAGACAAGCCCAGAGGACAACCTGGTTGGAGAAGTCATCGAGCCTTGGATGCACCCCTCAGTTACCCCACTCATCAGGAATGCCATCAAGCGTCGCTACGAGCTGATCCCTTACACCTATTCCCACTGCCTGAAGAGCCACTTCACCGCCGTGCCATCTCAACGATGGACGGGTTGGGGCTATGAGAGTGACCCTAATGTCTGGAGTAAGGAGCTTCTAGCAGGAGACACACAATATTGGTTCGGCGATGCTCTTCTAATTTCTGGTGTCTATGAACCCAAGGAAGACATGGCAAGGGTGTACTTACCTAAGAAGAAATCAGCCGCTACGGAAAACAGTAGTGACGATTACGGCTTCTTGAATACCAATGCGCCATTTCAGCACCTTGCTTCCGGGATGTGGCATAACATCAGCTCGACTTGGCATAGCTGTATCCCTGTGATAGCTCGTTGCGGATCCGCAGTTCCTGTTGGCAAGAATCGCCATACGACTTGTAGGGCCGAAGAGGATCCTGAGTTCCCTGCCGAGGAAAAGGATAACTGGCGTGGACTTGAGATTTTCCCGCCTCCCATGCATGGAATGACGCCACACACCAACGCAAACAAGAAACATATCTTTGAGAACACATGGCTGGAGGATGACGGCATCAGCTCCGAAGCAATGGTGTCCTACTCTACATTTCGGATAATATACGAGATCGGCAACGCATATGAGGATGGAATTGCCGTCAGCGTGAACATCACCAAGCAAGGGACGTGGGAGCCACTCTGGCTTAGTAACGGGGTGGATATAATCCTGCCCATTGGCGAAGAGAGGATTGTCTCAGCGAGGACGGGTGCTAAGGCGGTTGACAAGGGGCGAGACAATAGGGGTAGGAAGGTGTGGAACATCGGTGTGCAGCAGGCCCAGGTGAACAATGCAGCCTGAGCGGTATATTAAAACGAGCAGTGTATTTACGTATCTGATTGAAGTGGCAAGTATGAAGACATGACTCGACATAAAGATATATGAATGAAATAATTGTCTGAGAAGCATCCCATGTAATTATTTGGATTTACAACCCGTTGAAAGATTGAGGACGACGCCAAAGAAAAGAATATAACTGAGTCGCACTAATTACAGTGACTGGGAAAACATCAGATTTTCAAGTCGTACCATGTATACTGCTCTCATTATTCAATATTTGATGCTCTAAAAAAGAATTGGCTATATTACAAGCTTCCCGCAGCTTCGGTGAGAACACTGAGAAGGCTCGCTGCCGCGCCACCAATACCCACTGCTCCGATTGTTTCTTGAAGTGCCCTCTTCTTCGACTGGAGCCTGCCACCTCGACGGTCTCCTCCTCTATTTAAACTTGTAATCCGCTCATGGTCTCTGTCATTCTTCCTATCCCTATCCCTGTCCCTGTCTCTGTGTCTGTTGCTTCTGTATTCCCTTTCTCGACGTGTTAGAAGGTCATTAGGATGTCTCCAACCCGTTACCCGCCGCGTTTCTCTTGTCTTCTCTTCCTGATCTCCGCCGCTCGCACCTTTTGCCTTGACACCAGAAAGCGAGAGCCCGACATGGGGTAGCATTTCCTCATTGTCCCGTACTTCCAGATCTGGCTCACTGTCGCTGCTATCCTGTATCCGAGGACCCCATGCATCAAGGTCCGAGTCCCAGGCTTGCAAATCCGAATCCCACGGATCGAGGCCCTCTGTTTCAGTCGCTGTACTGGAGTGTAGATCCAAGTCTGGGACGGTGGGAGGTGCTTTCTCTTGGATGCGTGCCCTCCGCGCTTCTGCGCTAACGCGGGCGAGCCCTAGAACTTCTGCCTTGCTCAAAACACCAAGGATAGCAATGAAATTTGGCCGCGCCTCATATCGCAGATTGGAACGTTCTACGACTTCTGGGCTGACGAGACGACGATCTATTTTGGTCCATGTGGCATCTAGTGGAATTTCCTGGCCCCTACTGTCTGGTGCTAGTCTCGGCCCCGGTGGTAGTTCCCGACTCGCCAGCGGCCCTCGAGTCGACAAGGGCATAATTCGTTGGGAGCGGGCGGTATGATATGTATGAAAGGCAGTAGCATCTAGTCTCATAAGATTGCGTGTAGAAATCAGAGTCATGTTGCGAAATCTGCTGTCATCTGTCTCGCTTGAAGATGAATCAGAATCGTATGAAAGTCCCGGAAGTTTTGCTTTTAAAAGAAACGACTTTGGGCGATAGTTCGAAGAGCTTTCTGGTGATTCGGTGTCGAGGTTTCTCTGCGTGGAAGGAGAACTCGCACGATCAAAGAAACCGCTCGAGTCAAGTTCTCGTATATAGGCTCTGAGAACATCCTATTGAGTTTATTTAGTGATCTGTTAATGAACGACGGTTTGTTCGACGGCTATGAAATACTCAAAAACTGACCTTATGCTGCTCTAAGACATCGCTTGAGAACCCTTCGGTAGCAAGTTCCCTTGAAAATCGTTCCCATAGACTCTCTTCGTCGTTGTTATCATTTAACGTATACCCTAGAGATAGTCGCAATGAGATAACATTGACCTTTTGCTTGATAAATTCGAGTTGTTTCATGCTAGGTATGACCGATGGCTCATCCTTAACTTTTTGAGGATTGTGTAGCTGAATTGTATCGAGAAAGATATCAATGGTAGTCTTCTGGTTACTAAATTCAGCAGAATAGTAGTACAATACTGCGCTGGCCCTGGTGTGAATATCTTCTTTTGGTCTCTGGAGGTCGGTCTTGTTACAAAAATCGTCCAAGACCATGTCGAAATGCACAAGTGAAAAGTTGAAATCCTGTATAATTCCTGTAACCTGGCGATAATACATGCTGCTTTCTGGAGTCTGCTGATTCAGAAGACTGTCCTGATCCTGGGCCTCAAATCGGAGGTGCTTGAGGCTGGCACGAAGGTCGTCTATGGTGTTCGCCACTTTTTCAAGTCCTTGGTACAACACTCTCACACGGCGAGAAAGCTCCAAAGCTTTGCTGTCCAAGGTCGCGATAGTATCGGCTACATTGGGGGAGATTGCTAGGGGCTTGTGCATTGGCCTTCGTTGAGCGAGAATTTGTTTGACCATAGAAGTTCTCCGTTGCTCACTATCTCTCGAGTAGGGAATATTGAAGGCTTCGGGTATTGACGGCAGAGACACCGACACTGCTTTGAGTTGATGGCGAATATTATTTAAGGTATCTTTGATGGGAATGACATAAACATCACCCAAGACGTCGGACGCTACTACATGTCCAATGAGATCGTTGTTGTCCTCGAGGATAACCCAAGACCCAGAATCGCCGTCTTCAATCTCTAAGCAAAGATAAAATTGGTTAGTAGTTAGTTTCCACAATAAACCTTACTCAATTAAGTATAAAAGACTCGTGCGAATCACTTACGTTTATCATTTAGAGATATTATGTAAACATCAACAACTTCTTCACCTGGTTCAATCACTATCTTCGCCATTCCATCCTGAAGAAATCCACCAATTATGCCAGAGGAAGCTGTCGAGATCAGAACAGACCGTTGGGGACCAGGGGTTACTAAATCGCAAGGTGCCAAATCCTGTCTTGCAACTGTGACCATCCTATCGCCGATAGAACCCACCTGTGAGAAATAATTCAGTTGAACTTGGTCTAACTTGAACAAGGCCCAATCAAAGTAGCAAGAGTCGGAAAGCAGGGTAGCGTCTGCAGATGCAATAGTAAAGTCCTCATAACTTTTTGAGTCTTGAAAGTCCCAAGGCGAGCTCGTGCTGCTAGGGTTGTCTGTCGCACACAAGTTTGTGTCCGCCCTTGACCCGATGACTTCTAGGCCTGCCATTTTGTGCTCAAGACTCTTATCTGGAATTGCTGGTTCCCTATAATCGGATGCCTGATCGTCGTAATTGTTGCTCGAGTCACCGAATAAATGCCCGGCCGTCATACCGTAATAGAATGTGCGAAACGCGCCATTTTCGACCTTGAGCACTCCGCCTAGAGTCGCGCGACGCCACTCTTCTGAATCTCTATGATAGAGACGAATCGGTGCTCCACACACTGGCATTGTGTGATCTTCATTTTGAGCAACCTCGACACGATACTTAGAGTCAAAAAGTCTCAATGTGATGCCATTCTGAACAGTTCGGTAGCAAAATGACACCTCCTCCACGCCTCCAGCACGAAAGATTTGCTGATAAGCTGGTTTCTCTAACATGTCATTTATCGTCTTTTCTACATCTGAATTGCAGAAAAACACGATGTACGGTTTTGCGCTGTCTTGGTCTGTCCCCATGACGATGAGGCGGACGGCATCGACTCGCCTTGGTCGATGCCTCGTACCCAATCGCCGGCGTTTTTTGAGACAGTTGTTGAGCGGCTGAGTGATATAGCCAAGAATCTCATGGTAACGCTGAGCCTGCGCTTGGCTTGGATTGAAAACCGTCAAGCCATCAAAAGTCCGCTGCCGCGCTGTATTCACTGTAGGCGGTCTACGGGCGATCGGTGCTTGAGATGCTTTGATTGGCGACGTGGCTTCGTGATTTTCTTTTATCTGTTCGGCTGTCTGAGGTGATTGAAGCTCGGGCTCGGTAGGGTCCTCTTGTAGGGAAATACTTCCGTAGCCCGAGTCGCTCTTTGTTGAGCCAGCCGATGAATAATACGGAGGTTCGGAGATAGATTGGGACGTCTCCTGTGGCGCATCACAAGAGCCTGTGCCTCCATCGGGCGACATGTTGGAGGCTGGATAATCATAGGTCCATGGAGATCTACAGGTCGAATCAAGTCTTAATGACAGTATATCCGTCATCAGCTTGACTATGGAGATGTTGTAGTGCACTTCTCGAAATCAGAGTTAGCGATACTTTGGGAGGGGTCAAGACATTGATTGCGAAAGACGACCGCATCTGACATGTCGCGCAGGCCTCCCCTCCATATTCAATGCGGCTATAGTCTTGGGGCTGTGCAGCGAGACCATTGCCGTGTGCAGCCACCTGATGGCAGTGCTGTTTTCGTGGCTTGCAGGTAGGTGCATCCTCACCAGTAAGACCGCATGTTGAGACTGTCCTTAGCTTCGATGGTTTCTGCTGTGCGTGCGCTACTAAATAAGCTTGCCTTAAAAGCTATAAAGTCCTTGCGATTTTAAGCGGTAGGTACTAGTGTTTCTCGCTAGAACCCGACTCCAGACTGGATATGGATACAACAACACTTCAGAGCCCGCTTGGTGATATCACTGAACAGCACGAGAAGAGTCTGTATGCAACTCTTTGGAACTGGGAAAGTTGTGCCATCTGTGCTGCTTCAAAGTCCACAACCTGCTCGACTTTGGGATGCCCCACGCAGAGGATAAAACGACTGGGTCCTTTCAAGGACTTTTACAGACTCACAACAGCCCGCTATCTGCCTGAATTTGCTGCTTCACCCGAAATCGCTCTGAGAGGCCACGACGATTTGATCGAAATCATACAACATGTCAAGAAGAATCTTGGCACCCCTCGCAAGCAACTCATGACCGAATATTTTACGAGTCGCGCAAAGCGAGAAGGGCACCAAGAGCTTCCAAATTGGCATGATCAAGAGCGGGCATTCAACATGGGTGTCCGAGTTCTCACCATGGTAAACTGCTCCGCCGAAAATCAAGCCGGAGCATTCCTCGAGGAAGGCCTTCAACCGATTGCATGGGCGAACAAAGATTCCTTGGCCAGCTTCATCAATAAAAGCTTTCCGACAACGGACCACCCCAGTCTTAACGACCCCAGCCAGGCCGGAAAGGGAATCAATCTGAAGTCGAGCTTAGAGGGCAGGCGGCTGGTCAAGGTAGCTGGGCTATCTTTTCGGGGAACAGATAACCTTGCACATCATCTTCGTCTCGACGCAGAGAATGGTTGTGTGGAGGTTTTCCATCATACTAGAGCCCTGAAGGAATACCTCATTGCCTCTCGAGATCAGGAAAGCGCTGCATCGGGCCACGCATCATCTGTAGAGTGAGTAATATCCAACCAGTCCAGGTTGAAGGTCTTCGCTGATGTTCAGCTGTGAAAGGTTGTGCCTACCCCGGCAACTCGCGCTTGAAGTAATCGATTCCATCCAAAAGATAATTTTCCCCTTAGAGTCGAATTCGGAGTCGTTGCTGCGCGCATTGGTTGTGAAGCAACACTTCGATCCTGATTGTCTGCGGCTAGTTGATCCCGTACCATATCGGCGACCGAGTGAAAATGATATCCCTTATCGCTATTTTGGTGGCAGACTAATGGATTTGGCACATGAGTTGGAACATCCCACGGCTCGAAGCTTTCTTGAAAAGTGGCTGGAACGTAAAAGCGGTGCGCGATACGTCATGTTAGCAACACTGGCTGGAATTATAGCTGCGGTCATACTAGGCTTTCTCTCCCTCGCTGTCAGCATACTTCAAACCTGGATCTCATGGCAGGCATGGAAGTATCCTGCCGACGGCGGTGGCAGCTGATGTGGCTGGAAGAATCTGTAAATTACACAGCAAGGGGACCCTATGTGTTGTATGGGGTGTTGTGGCTCAACTTGCACCCTAGAAAAACGAGTCGGAAGACCTATTCTTGTCGATTCTGGTTTGCGACAAATAAAGATGAGAAAGCGCGGAGGACTCTCGTCAGCATTCCGAGCTTAATAATCAACCTTGCTAAACTTTCCCAGCACATTTTCTCAGCTGATGCCACTTAGCGCCCGCATACTTGTACAATGTACAGTAGTAGCGGCTAGGTCTGGGCAAACTCGACCTTCTTGTCAAATAATTCCACGCACCCTGAGACTTTGATTGAGACTGAAATAAATCATATACCTCAAGTGAGGCCAGCATATAATGAAGAACCACGACACTACTAAGGTATTTATCGCGCCTAAATTTGCACAGCCTCTTTGAAGTTGACAGCGCTTTTCTTAGGTTCGGAAAAGGCAGAATAGAGAAGCCCAAGCTGCTTATCGCAAGCGAAAGCATGTCTCGGAGATGGAAAAAGAGCGAAGACTTCGCGGGCTAGAGGATATGATTGAACAACTGAGCTCGACATTTATGGCTTTTACCGACGAAGTGCTCGACTCACGACCTGCACGCGGCAGTACGCCACTGTTGAATAATATACTGCAGACAATGAGGGTCTTCCATGGCATAGCTCTGGAAGTTGTTCCATCTGAAGCCGGCGACGGTCTTGGCTTCTACGGCGAAGAGGGCTCTAAGTCGCCATCGATTAGCTCTGATGATTCTATACAACATAATACTCCTACGGCAACGGCCAGCCAGGTGAATAACGGCGGCCGATCACCGCGAAGCAGCTCAGAAAAAGTTTCGCGGCTTACCCAGAGGCCATCCTCACCTGACGTGTCTAGGATGCCATACCAAGAATTTTCATCCCCACATATGCAACCTCAGGTACTTGGCAATGGCTGGATCTATACTCCTGTGCCGGTTCTGTACACCCCAATGCGCATGGGGGATCATATCCTCAATATCCCAGAATTCTGCATTCGTCTAGTAGAAACTACTGTGGCTACTTCATACACTCTGCTACTCGCCGATGCCTTCATTAACAAGGAGTCCGAGGGAACTTTTCGTTGGTCTCGACGGTATACCACACGCGAGGGCCTTCTCTATTGTATGCGGTGGATGCTAGGTCCCGGCCGGAAACTTTTGCCTCTGGCCGTTAACGTCCCGGCAAATCTCTATGCTAGGTATCTAGCCACAGGCCGGAATATTACTTTTGAGAGTGGTGTCAGCGACACTAGCAACAATGACAATGATGTCGAGGGACCGGAATTGCCATCACTACTCAATGCAGCAGATGTCTTCCAAAAGCTGATGGATCTCAACTGTCGATTTGTGGATGAAGATGCCATTGAGATTACCGTGCATGCTGGACATTCAAATAGGCAGCAAAATTGGTTTCTCGATCGTTTTCCAGCACGACAACCAGCTCAAGAGTCTTCGACCCTCACTCTTAGATTGAGTAAAGCTCTTCTCATAAGCAACCTGGCTTATTGCTCTATCTGTCTAGGCCAGGGACCTGGCTATCCGATGGAAGACTTTGCGAGGATAGTGGAAGCTTCAGCGACTTCTGTTAGTGAAAGCGGCCCTTTATTATGATAGCGTTACGCAGAAGACGATCGCTTTCAATGCGGTATATGATGATTTACGTACTTCACCAGTCATAATTGTCTTTTCTCACAATAACAGCTTGTAAGTTGCGAAAACTCCGAATCGTCTTTTAGTCGACAACTTATATTCTAAGTGCTTAGTTGTAGAGTATATAGCGAAATCTAGCCTTATCGTTTTCCAAGTCCACCATAGCTTCATTTGCCTCCCTCATCGGACGCTGCTCGACCCACGGCTCAATTTTCTTATCCACGGCAAATTGGAGCATCTCACGGATCTGGCTTGGACTCCCGATCAGTGAGCCCACGACTTGCCGCCCACCAAATACAAGCGGATTGGCTTCCAGTGGGATGGGCTTGTCTGGAACCGCAAGCTGCACTATGGTCCCTCCTGGCTTCAGGATTTTCAGATATTGTGTTAGTGGTAACTAAGAATATGTCAGCCATGCACCATGAAAATGTTCAGCTCGGGAAGCAGAATCTACATTGGAAGATCCATTTGTACTGATGAGGATGTCGAACTTGGTCGCCCATTTACTGCCCCAGTTCTCATCCTCGTCGGTAGCGATGGAATCATCAGCACCAAGGTCGAGGGTGTCCTGTTTTTTGCTTGCTTTTCTTGAGATGCCAATCACACTCGTTGTTCCCATGGCCTTTGCAAACAATATTGCGAGGTGGCCCAGTCCACCCACGCCCACAATACCAACTCGTTTTCCAGGACCTGCGCCATAACGCTTCAGCGGCTCATATACGGTTGTTCCGGCACACAGCAATGGTGCTGCATGATAAGGTGCAAGACCATCGGGGATTCTGAAGACGAAATGCGAAGGGGCGCGGTGATAAAGAGCATGACCACCTTGGGCATTGCCACCATTAAAGTGTTGGGAGGCATATGTTTGAACTAAGTGGCTGCAGTAATTCTCTGTGTGGTTCTCGCATGGCTCGCATGGGCCATTGCGTTGGAGGCACGAGTCGGACTGTGATCCCACGCCAACAATGTCACCAACTTTGATATCCCCCTCTGCTTTGAGTCCGACACGAGTCGCTACGCCCACGATTTCATGTCCTGTAACAACGGGATAGCCGGTCGGACCCTAGCATGCTTCATTAGCATAGCGCACTACAAAGATATGATATCCTACCCATCGAGAGCGTATAATATGCAGATCAGTGCCACAAATTCCTGAGTGGGTGACCTTTTTCCACATCAGACTTGAGATATAAATTCAACCGGTTGAAGATACCTTGATTTCAATATCAGTTTCCTCCCAGTCCTTTGGCTGGTACTCTTTCCAGACCATGGGTTTCTCGCTTGAAGATGCCTCCTCCAGAACCCAGCCTTCGAATCGAGGAGATGACATTTTGATTGAGGGGAGTAGAAAGTGGCTGTCAGTCGTAGGAAGCTAGTTACATACAAGGCCGATGTATACTCGAGAACATCAGACTCAGACTTGGGGGGCAGGTGAAGTCCTTAATAAATCCTTACTCTTGGTTTTTCATAAGTCAAGGCTTTCTAAATATGAAGCCTTAGATAAGGTGAATTAGTAAGATAGGGGTAGTACAGCCGAGATATGTAATTGCTCAGCCGGCATGCTGATGAAAGGCTGCCGATTCGGACCTTTACCTCGACAAAGTAGTCTCGTTAGCTTTTGAGAACTTGATGCTGTCAACATTACGAATATGAAAGCATGGCAATATTTAAAAGATTGTAGTGCAATTTGATCTCACTCCGTAGTATATTCATTTTTGAGGGACGATCCTTGACCGTTATTCGTATATCGTAATTTGGCTTACAAGGCCTAGGGCTTCTTAGCATGAGCAACAGCAAGTATGGAGCGTGGGCGTGTGTTTGAGTCGTGTGTTGAGCCATATGACAAATGTGCATACACGGTAGTAAACTTACCTAAGCCACACTGAGAGCACCAAAGCTAACAAAGAATCGCCTCGGGGTGCTGACATGAATGCCCCGACACCATGTCAACTAAGTACCACATCCTTGTAATGGCCACAAACGCCTAAGTAGTTGCTATCAAAATTCAAATTTCTTCGAGTTTATAATAATTGCTTCGCAACATTCATGGACAGTTCACACAAACACCAAATCTGTGTGGCAATTTAAATTTATTTTGGCGATATCTAATATCAAATCCTCAAACCCAAGTTGACGTGCACCACCTTTTCCTCAAGATACGCTTCAAGCGTAGACTCTCCTAACTCCCTGCCAAGGCCACTCTGCTTCACACCACCGAACGGCATCTTCACATTGTAGTTGTTGCTCTCGTTGATCCACACCATTCCAGTGTGCAGCTTTGTTGCGGTGCGCATCGCAGTCTTCATGTTCTCAGTGAAGACCATGCCAGCTAAACCATATGCCGAGTCATTTGCTAGGGCAACGGCTTCGTCCTCCGTCTTGAATGTGGTGACCGCGATAACGGGTCCGAAGATCTCTTCGTGGAAGATCTTCATCTTGTTTGTTACGCCGGTGTAGATAGTCGGCTCGATGAAGTAGCCCTTGCCCAAGGTCTTGTAAGGGTTGCCACCAGTGACTAGGTTGGCACCATCTGTCTTAGCATGGTCAAGATATTCAAGGACCTTGTCATACTGCATCTTTGATACCTGAGGGCCTTGAGTGGTACCCTCGTCGAACGGCCTGCCAATCTTTGACGCTTTCGCGAAATCGGAGAAGTACTTCACGAATTTCTCGTGCGCTCCCTCTTGCACTAAGATACGAGCATTGGCACTGCAGATCTGACCGGCGTTACCCATGCCACCGGCAATTGCCCACTTGGCGGCCTGCTCAAGATCTGCATCATCAAAGACAATGAACGCGGACTTTCCACCAGCCTCAACGGTAACTTTCTTCATGTTCACGGCAGCAGCCTTGATTACAGCACGTCCGGTTGCAGTTGAGCCTGTGAAAGCAATCTTGTCTATGTCAAGGTGCTTTGTGAGAGCGTCACCAGTTTCTTTGCCCCATCCGTTGACAACTTGCACCACACCAGGTGGGTACCCAGCTTGTTTGAACAGCTTGGCCAAGAACAAAGCTGATAAAGGAGAGAATTCCGAGGGCTTCATAATGATACAGCAACCGGTAGCTAGAGCGGGACCGATCTTCCACGAGCAGTTGACAAGGGGGAAGTTCCATGGCGAGATGGCACCGCATACACCAACAGGCTGCTTGATGGTGTATCCGAACTTGTCGGAGCTGATTGGAATAGTTTGGCCGTTGATCTTGTCAGCCCAACCGGCGTAGTATCGCAGACACTGGACAACAAGAGGCCACTCGAGAGCTTGAGAGGCTCCATAGGGCTTGCCGACATCCCATGCCTGGAGTGCAAATAACTCGTCCTTGTTATCGTCTATCAGATCAGCCACTTTGTTTAGCAGCTTGGCGCGATCCTCTGGAATCATGTCCCTCCATGTGGGGTCGTTGAAGGCAGCACGCGCTGCCTTGACAGCCTTGTCGACATCGTCTGCTGTGGCGACCTCGACCTCTACGATAGTCTCCTCCGTGCTGTGTACCATAATAGTAAGCTTCTCAGCATCCCGGTACAGTATCCCAGATAAGAACAGCTTGAACGCGAGACAACTTACGCAGGATCAATGCTTGCCAGTTTTTCTGAAGAGCTTCCCTTGATGAACTCATTGTTGATGAAGAGACCTGTTGACAAGGAGATCTTCTGGCCGTTGGGCGCCGTAAGAGTGACCTCGAGGTCAGCCATGTTTACTCAATCACGGAAGACTTTAAAGCTCTGACTGTGAACCATGTTTGCGGGGAGAGTTATAACCTGGTAGTTCATCTATTTAAATAGCGCCCCTCCATAAGCTGTGCCCCCGGTCTTGATCGGCCTCGCGGCATCTTGCACCGAGAGCGGCCGATGCGGGTCGTGCTTGTGGGGGTAAGCACTAAATAAGCACAGAAGGGTTTTTACACTGGTGTCCTTCCATTAGGATTAGCTCCTGCTTCCCGTTCGCATTCCAGCATGTTTTTGACCGAGATCCAGTGTTGAATTTGCGATTATTAACGAAACAAGATCGCTGAAGGAACAAAGATGCTACATATAAGCCCCACCAATTGCTGTTCGCTCGTAAAGAGCTAGCCATTGACTGCACGCCGATCGAAGACCCCACTAGGACAAAGCATATTATCGGAGATAGGTGTTTAATACAAAAGATATTGATATCATAACCCTTTAGGACCTGGTAGGGCCAACACTTCTAGGTGCAGCACGGGGCGCGCACAGCAAAACTCAACCCCAAGGAGTTTGTGGCATATGAAAGAACTCCGTACCGCCTCCAAGGAGCATGTTCCCCGCGTAGTTGGCGGAATCGAGGAGGAACCCGAAAGGATCCGTGGATGGTGGAATGTGCCCAACCGACATATGCGAAGAGAAAACCGGCTGTAGAGATCGAGAATTGTCATTCGCGGCTGATGTAGTATCGAGGGACTGTACAAGGGTAAGTGTTATGCATCAGGATAGCGGGGACTGTACGTACCATGAATGCCTGATCGAATCTCTGGGATTCTGGCATATCTACTGCATTAAGCGATGGCAGTTCTGCGGATGCCAATTCTAACGCCTTGTGCCAGTGTGCGGCAATTGGCCAAGCACTGCATATTTGCAACAGGTCTTTCTTAGACCGGTCCACAATGCTCTCAGATCGATGGGCAAGTCGCGGACACAATTGAGGACATCTCCAGAGTTGCGTGGCAAGCGAGCCACAGAGATAAGCACTGAATGCTAGGAGAGGAGGGAACCCTTCCGTTAAAGGTCTGTTAGCAAGATACACTGCAATACCTTGATGCAGTGAGAGAACGTTTGAAAACAGCTCTTCTGACATGTTTTCCCAAAATAAAATGTGCGTGTCTCTGCTTAATATTCCAGCTTTGATTTCTGCCAGATATGTTCTGCGGAGCACGATATTGCATAGACGGATTGCTAGGAAAATGGACGTGTATGCAATATCCAAGTTCTGCGCCTTATACACTCGTAGGTTCCATTCCGTCCACGTATGTTCTTTAGAAAGGCCAGCCTCCCATTCCAATAGCGCCATGGATTGTTGAGAATATGGGCTCGCATTATCCCAGAGTTGAACATCCCCAATCTTCGGACCGCCTCCGTCAAGGCATGCGCCACGGGCAATTTGACCCCAGAACTTGTAACCTTGGATCACAGCACCAAATAGTGACCGTGACGAACAGTTTACAAGTTCTGGATGATCGATTGCTGCTTGTGATGTTGGAAGGGCGGCACGAATTCTTGGAATCACTCCAAAAGCGAAGTCGCTTTCATCCGAAGGTAGTAGCGCTGTTAGGTCGTTAAGTGCAAAAGGAACTGGTGAGTGATGACCAGCAAACAAGTTGCGCAGCACTGTGAGGTGTTAGCATCTTATGTGTGCAACTGGAATAGGCAATCATACTGCCCATCATCCACAGTGTCCGTCGAGCTTCCTCGGACTGGATGATATCCTCTGGTTGCGCATCATCTGGTAACGTGTACGTATCCTCTCTATGGAGGCGAAGCATGCCAACAATTGTTGATGCTACGCCAAGGTGAATCTAAACATCTCTGGTCAGCCTTGTAAGTGTATCGGATTCAGATAGCTTACAAGGCTTTTGTTGCAATCTCCCTTTGCCCATTCAGCAGTTCCCAGGAGTATGAAAGCCTGAGATGTTTCAAGTGTAGGTTTGTACATCTCAGCAGGAGCCATCTCTTCTGCCAATGTCACAAATACATCCGATGCTTTGACTGGACCCCCAAATCGCTTCACCAAACTTGGCGTAAACCTCGCTGACATTCCGAGGATGCATATTAATAAAAATTGATTGAATGAGGTGAAATCATTCTCAACTTGGGTGAGGAAGCGGACTTTTGGAACAAAGTCCAATTGGAAGCAACAGTTGATGTAGACCCGACAGCCTTCCACGATCTCTTCTTTTGGCAAGAGCTCTTGCAAGGTTGCAACCACTGTTGGTGCTGGGGTTTGTGGCACCTGTCTGTATACGAGTTAGGCCACTGGTGATTATATGGAACACGCTGTACAAACCCCGGAGTCTGCTCGACTGTTGCATGCTGGCTAACAGGCGAGTTGAATTCTATCGCCTATCATTGTCTGTTAGTTAAGCCCTCTTCCATAGAGATAACATGACTTGACCTTGATTTCCTTGCCTCCTCGGCTCACGAACACGCTATCAATCGTCAGTACATACCTTGAACTACTGCATTGAGCACTTACCATGTCTCGGCTACAGCAGCGCCGGCCTCTCTACAGCCTACACATGGCGCTTTGGCGCCATCGTGCTTGCACTTACTACGATGGCGACGACATCTATCCTCTTGTAAGCCAATTGCCGGACACGCAAGCTTCGCAAACTTTTACCGTGTGCAGGCTATTGTCGCTCTCTTCGTTCGAGCTGACGGCGGGAAAGCTTGACGCAGCGCTAGTTTCGAGGGTTCCGAGGATCGCGCAGTCATTTTGTGTACTTGATACCGGTTCTCAAGTCAAATGGATGGAGTTTCCTTCGCTTCTAAGATACCGTTCCCGATTCCTGTTACGTAAGGAACGCACCAGTGCTTCTTACCCTCCGGCGACTCAGTCGCCAATTAGTCTAGCCATTTAGCGTCATGAGGAATGGATCATGGGAGCCAATAGCCCCATTCCAGTGAATTAGTGCAACTATAGATCTTCCTTATCTGGAGGCCAGGTCTCACTCAGTGTAACAGTCGCAGATCGCTATCTGTTTCCTCCGGCGGCACGGCGGGAACTTGCGGGATTCCAATTCGCACAATACCGGCGGCATTCGATAACACTCTTGCCTAGGGCGATAACCTTGCAAGTCTAAATTATCTGGGGATTTCAAGCGGCCTATGATTAGGCAATGTCTCCTACGTGTTTACTGTAGTACTCAATCAAGATCGTCCCAGTCATTCGCTCAGATTCACCGCACATGATGGGCTCACTTGTGCCCATGTCTCAGAACACTGTACGTGTTAAGGCGATTGACACAACCACGAACCAAGTTGTTGACGCGAGAGCCTTCATCGAGCCTGTGCACAAAGGGCAAGAAACACTCAACTTGCCCACACTCGCATTTCTTGTGGAGCATGATGGGCTTGGAAAGAGAATCCTCTTCGACTGCGGGGGTCGTAAAGATTATCAGAATTTCGCCCTCGGCGTGCTGAAGAAGATGGACGAAATATTATTTTCCATGAAAGTCGACAAAGACATCGATGAGATTCTAGAAGACGCTGGCATAGATCTTAACTCAGTTGACAGCATGATATGGAGTCACTGGCATTTCGATCATCACGGTGCACCGGAGCGGTTCCCCAAAAGCGTCGAGATTGTGGTTGGACCAGGATTTAAAGACTTGTTTATGCCTGGCTTTCCAACTCGTCCCGATGCCATCCTTTCAGATGCCTACTTCGAGTGAGCATTTAATCCATCTATGAAGGAAAACAGAGGCTGACAAAATACTTAGAGGACGGGAGGTACGAGAGATAGCATTCAGTGACCTTGAGATGAAATGTGGTAGGTTTCCGGCAGTCGATTATTTCGGGGACGGTTCGTTCTACCTTCTTGACAGCCCTGGTCACGCTATAGGCCACATGTGTGCGCTTGCACGGACAACACCTGACACGTTCATCTTCATGGGAGGAGATATCTGCCATAGTCCGGGAAACTATCGTCCTACCAGAGCGTTCCCGTTGCCAGATCCTGTACCCAGCGGCCAACTCAATGCCGCATTTCCAAAACCGTGTCCGTGCTCGCTATTTACTCCTCTTCACCGTGCCCATCCGGATGTTGACAAAACACGAACAACGCCATTTTTCGGTCTGTCACGGACTGAGAACTCGACTTTTATGGATATCCCTGCTGCCAATAACAGTATCGACGCAATGCGGGAATTTGAAGAGAGTTCGGATGTTCTCGTGTGCATATCTCACGATATGGCTCTCATTAATGTCCTTCCTTTGCTCAATAAGAATCCCAAGGCAGATATCAACGATTGGAAAGTGCAGGGTTACAAGGAAGATGCGCGATGGTTCTGGCTTAACGAGCTACCTAGAGACGGCAAACCGGGCCAGCCACCACTTGTTAACGGGCGTTTCTGGAGAGGGCGTGAAGTTAAGTCATGGACGGATCCGGTGCCAGATACACTAGATGTAAAATAAAACATACATGTCCACGAGGAACGGCTTACATGATACGATGTATAAACAAACGCCTTCGAATCAATAAATCCCCGACGGCCGTTGTTCGTGGTGATATCGCTCGGATCGGAGGGTCTAGACCATAGCTAACTTTATCGCGGCTAGATCATGAAGTTAGTTGTTCCTATCTGTCCCGGCGGCATTTTCAGTCGTCATAGTGCAGCGTAATTGGACCCGCACTGCGCGACATACAAGCGCAATCTCTTGTAGCACACATCAAATCTGCTAGCCGAAACTTATTCCTAATCAACATTTAGCAGTAGAGCCGCATTCACAACCTTGACTGCTATTGGTATCTTTGCATCATACTCCGGGCCTACTTCAATGTCAACAGCAACACTCACGTATCTTGCTGGTGGTGATGATGGAGCGATTAGGGTGAAAACAGCCTCTCGTGCAGTCGGTGGACTTGAGGTCCTCGTGCGCATCACCCATTCAGGTGTATGCGGCACTGATGGTCACGACCGAGTTGCTGGATGTGGCTTGGGTCATGAGGGAGTCGGCGTTGTAGAAGAGACCGGAAAGGAGGTGACGCATTTCAAGATCGGCCAGCGAGTTGGATGCAGGTAAGTGACGGTCAAATGGAGTTAACATACCAAGCTAACAATATTGTAGTTGGCAAACATCGGTTCGTAAACAACCTTCCTTCCACCTTCTGTCTGATCAGCTACAAAGATGTTCGGGCAGTTGATATCTCGGAATCTTGCTGACCGGCATCAATCAGTGCTGCGGACATTGCCGTGAGTGTGTGGCCGGCTATAAACAATGTTGTCCTCAATCCGTGGGCCAAAAGTATGGCGATCTAGAACAAGGGTGCTTCGGGAATTATGTTGTTAGACATCAAAGTTTCGTATATCCCATTCCGGATGAGATCGAATCAAAATACGCAGGACCGCTGCTTTGTGCTGGTGTAGGTTATCTGGCAACCTCCTCGCAAATGGCTGCTCATGTTTTTTCTCTAGATTACTGTCTTTGAGGCTTTACAAATTTCAGGAACCAAGGCGACCGATCGCGTGGGAATTATTGGTTTAGGTGGTCTGGGTCATATCGCTGTACTGTATGCCCGCGCCATGGGCTGCGATGTGGTTGTGTTCTCTGGCTCGGAAAAGAAGAAGGCAGATGCTTCAGAGCTTGGGGCATCGGAGTTTCATGTTCTCAAATCCGGAGACCAGTCAACCTCAGACACGCCAGCGAATATTGACGTGATGCTCATCTGTGGAGGCACTGTCTCCGATCTGACCCCGTAGGTCCCAGGCTCTATAGTGGTGGCCCTATACTAACATAATGCCTCAGCATAATGCCCCTACTTCGGCGTCGCTCGAGAATTGTTCCTCTGACAATACAAGCGGAACCGCTCATCGTCCCGTAAGTAAATATTCAAGCGGAAACCACTCCTGTCGCTGACATGTATCTTAGATATATGCCCCTGATCCTGCCCGGGACTCAAATAATGTAAGTAATGATCTACAAACATGGAGGTAAATAGTTCAAGTCTGACAACCACTTAGTGGAAGCACTGGGGCCTCGGACGAGAACCGCGAACTTGCACTCCTTTTTGCTGCACGTCACCAAATCAAGCCGTGGGTTGAAGAGTTCCCTATGAGCGCAGATGGATTGACAGAGGCTTTGGAGAAGCTGCAGAGCGGCTCTATACGCTATCGAGCAGTGCTGAGCACGGAGCTGGGGAATGGATTGCACTGAATTAGAGACGCAGATGAAACCAATTAACACATGCATGGCCCTTTAACTTTCAACCAGAGCATTATTTCACTTGCAATTTTGGATCTTTGTCAGGGGCGGTGACTCATGATTGTGCGTGCCATGGAAATTAGCAAATCGCAGTGATGGCGGCTACGGCATCCAAAAGAAAGACCACAGCCGCACGTTAGATCCGCATTATGGTTCCCCTATTCAACTTCAGCTAGCATGATTATATGCCGGAAGACAAGGGTGTTAGACCTCGATTCCTTAACTGGGCCCGATGCAGTTAGCATTTAGAATTTTGATAAGGCAGCGGCGGGAAGTCGCTTCATAACAGAAGATTGCTCAGCGATTGCTCTTTTGCATTGAACCCGCCGGGATGAAGTGCCTAGCCGCCGGTAGACTTGTCTAGATCTGCGCCGCTGTTATGTATCTCCGTTATCATACACAACATTAGCGCCGTGTCAATCGTCGACGTCTGACTAACCCCTCCATTAGTGGCGATTGCTCTATGTAACAAACCAGCTTGAACATCTGAACTCGAGTTAGGAGGAACAAGCTAGATGAGTTTGAGGGAGGGATCCTAATCGAATTTCTTGTTTCGCCTATCGCAGCGGCTTGACTGCTTAATTATCTCACAGACTTCATTGTGTGAGCATTGTTGAGAGTCTACAGTTTTAAAGGCACCCTTTACAAGACTTATTCTATCTACGAAGCTCAGTATCCTCTCAAATTCTCGATACCGGGTTCAAACACACAACCAACGCTTTCAGAAATTATGGGGAGCTATGTTGAGGAAGAAGATTATGGCAGGCGCCTGCTGCCGAATGTGGTCGATAAATGTGCGAAGACGAGGCCCGATAGAATTGCCTATTCATTCCCTATCGGCGATGACCCGGCTGGTGGCTTCCATCATGTCACCAACCTTCGTTATGCAAACGGCATCGATCGCACGGCTTGGTACATTGAACAACAATTTGGTATACCTAATCCGAGCTCTTTTCCGGGTATTGGATATATCGGGCCGAGTGAGTTCATAGAAGATGTGTAGTACTGATGCAAGTGTTTGACAATAAAGTAGATGACCTTCGGTATGCAATACTGGCAGTTGCTGCAGTGAAGGTGGGATACAAGGTTGGTCCTAACTATTTCACAATCGCAAAATATGGCACATTGCTGACTAGGCTCTAGATGATATTTCTCTCACCTCGAAACAGTGTCGATGGACATCTCGCAGTCATTGACCGATGCGGCTGCGACTTGTGGCTTTTGCCATCCCAGAGACTAGGCCATGTTGACCAAATACTGAAGAAAAGACCTATGAAAGTGGTCCCTTTGCCAGAGCAACTGGAGTTATTGAATGAGGGAGCTGTGGCGAAATATCATTATGCGAAGACTTTCACCGAGGCACGACAAGATCCCTTCGTGGTCCTACACACTTCGGGATCAACAGGACTTCCGAAGCCCGTGATCGTTCCAAACGGGAGCTTAGCTACAACAGACGCACATCACTTGCTTCCACCTGTTGAAGGACGCTTGACACAAGCTCAATTTTTCACAATTCCCCGTAGAGTGTATTCTACTTTTCCAAACTTTCATGTAAGGCCCAGCAATCCTTCTATTTGGCAGAAACTAAAATGGCTGCTTTGAAATAGTCGGCAGGCATGGTCTTTTGTTTTGCGTTGCCATTTTACTATGAGCTAAGCATTGTAATGGGACCTACTTCAGTGCCCGTAAATTTAGACTTGGTGAACTCTATGCTGGATCATGCCGATGTTGACGGGTCACTGTTAGCGCCTTCAACTCTGGAGGAGATTTCCAAGGATCCTTCCTCGCTTGCAAAATTGGCTAGGACGTCGTTCACATTGTTCGGGGGCGGTAAGTCTCTTTTAAGATTACAGCACTCTAGTAATCTGCTAATGTTATTAGGGCCGCTCAACAAACAATGTGGTGACCGAATCAATGCCGTAACTCGCGTGTTCAACATCATGGGAGTGACAGAGGGCTCGCTCTTTCCCATAGTTCAGGCAGAACCAGAAGATTGGCATTATCATCACTTTCACCCCGCTGGCGGTTATACTTACAAGCAACGCACGGAAGAGCTTTGGGAGCAATTTCAAACTCGAGACCCGGAACTTCATCTCACCCAAGCATTTCTTCAAACATTCCCAGATCAGGATGAAGTTGCCACAAAGGATCTTTATTCGAAGCATCCAACAAAACCTGGGCGATGGCTCTATAGGGGTCGGACAGACGATGTTATAGTGTTGTCAAATGGAGAGAAGGTCAACCCGGTAGATATGGAAGCCTGCATCAACAGTCACCCGGACGTGAAGGCATCCATTGTCGTAAGTATTACAAAACCCCGAATCTCAGTCTTAAGCCTAACTTCCTCGATTGAACAGGTCGGGCAAGGAAAATTTCAAACAGCAGTTCTCATCGAACTATTTAAGCCTCTGCCGACAAATGACAAGGACCTTCGGGCGCTGAAGGACAGCTTGTGGACCAACATACAGGCTGCAAATCGTGAGGCCCCAGCACACGGACAGCTTCACAAAGACTGCATACTATTTGCCTCAGATAAAAAACCATTTGTGCTGGCTGGAAAAGAGACTGTCTTGCGTGCAATGACGGTTAGTCTGTACGAATCATTTATCAACGACTTCTACGAAAATCAGGAGAAGAGACAATCAACGGGAACGGCTTGCATTAATCTTTCGGACTTGAGCACCATAAAACAAGACATTCATCGTCTAATATCTCAAATTCTCGATGGTGCTGAATTGGCACCAAGCGATGACTTTTTTGTCGCTGGTCTGGACTCTTTGTCGGTTTTCAAAGTTCTAGCGAACCTCCGCGCGTCCTTTCAAGCGGGAGAAGATAGAGACGATAGGGCCGTGACAGCGGGTCTAATATATTCTAACCCTACAGTCGACAAACTCTCGAGGGCTTTAGACCACCTTCTTCGGCCGAATGCCAATCTGCAGAATGTTTCAACTACTGAAAAGCTTATGAGCGAACTTTTGGAAAAGTACAAGTCGAATCTGCCCGAAAGGCTGCCCAGGACAACCAAGATCCCAGTTTCGGGTGCTTCTGTAATTGTAACAGGAACAACCGGATCACTAGGATCGTATTTACTCGATACATTACTATCGAATGCAAATATCCGCAAGGTCTATTGCCTCAACAGATCAGCGAATGCGCGGGACAGCCAAATAGAGACAAACAAAGTCAGAGGTCTTGGAGTAGACTTATCTTCGGATCGTGTCAAATTTCTTCAGGCTGATCTTTCTAGACAAAATCTAGGACTGAGTGATGAAGATTATCATGAGCTACTGCAAGAAGTTACACACATTATTCGTAAGTCAATAGTTCATTCTACAAAGTTCTCAATGCGATTGAGACTGAGTCCCTCGAAGACAATCAATGGCAGGTCGATTTTCACCTACATCTCTCATCGTTTGAGCCACACATTCGAGGTGTTCGCCACCTAGTAGACTTTTCTCTTCAGAGTGAGATGAATGCTGGTATATTATTCGTCTCCTCAGTAGGAGTTGTTCAAGCACAACAAACAAATAAGCCTGTCCCCGAGGCACTAGTCACGGACTTCTCAGTAGCAGAAGGAGGCTATGGTCAATCAAAGTTGGTATCAGAGTTAATCTTAGATACAGCAAGCACCAGAAGCGGGGTTGACTGTAGTGTTTGTCGTCTGGGTCAGATAGCTGGTCCGGCCAATACAGCCACCGGAATGTGGAACAAGCAGGAGTGGTTGCCTTCGGTCAGTTGTCTCTCTATGTCTTTCGGTCTTCCAGAGAACTCTTCAATAAGATACATCGATTCTAATGATGTGATTAGATTATTGCCAGCTCAAAATATTTGGGAAAACTTCCGTCCACTCTGTCATCCTTGGATAGAGTTGATTGGCTTCCAGTTGACCTCACCTCAAGCATAATCGCTGAACTTGTAGGGCTGAGCTGCCACCAATATCCCATGACAGCAAGTTCGCCGGGGTCAATGCGAATCTTTCATGGTGTTAATCCTTCAGTCTGCTCATGGACCTCTTTGGTACCGACAGTTGCCTCATGCTTAGGTCATGAGATCTCTGTTGTTTCCTGGTCCGAGTGGCTTTCAGCCCTCGTGGCTTCTGAAGCGAAAGCAGACTATGATCGTAATCCAGGGCTTAAGCTGCTGGCATTTTACAAGAACATAGAGAAGGCTGCACTCATGGGCTTACAGCTTCCGGTTTTGGAGACACAGGAAACTCAAATGGTGAGTGGAACATTGAAATCACTCGAGGCTGTCAACGAGGCTTGGATGTCAAATTGGATGAGTCAGTGGGATTTCTAGAAGGAATCAGCATTCTGGACGAAAGTTAAAGAATAAAAAAGATCGATTGACGAACAGAAACTCTCTTATTGTCATATATACTCGCTGTAAACATGGTGCGTCGGTGCGGAAAGGTAGCGGACATCACAATTCCTTTTCGTCACCAAAAGTATGATGACAGCAAAACGTATATTTCTCATATCTAAAAAGCATTTTGAATGTAATTCTTGTTACACTCAAAATTCCAAATCGCCTCTCCCCGCATTGTAAGTAAATCATCTCTAAGTCTCAAATCCCGAAGGAAATAAGCTGCTATCACGACACTATTGAAGAACTGCTCTGGGTCAATGTCGGCTCCTTCCATGGATGTGGCCCTATCGCCCTGTAAGACGATGCTCTAGTGTCCTCAAAGGTATGTAGCAAAGAACACATAGTACAATGCCAACTTCAAAGCCGATGTCACCAGTCGTACGCGCAATAGGACCAGTATACCATGTTTCCGACATGCAAGGCACAATCAAGCCGAAGGGAATGATGACTGATGCAACTGCAGCCGCACCAACTGGCAGCTTGTCTCCAATATTCCAGATGGCGGGATCGTAGCTGGATGCACTTTTTCGGAAGTAAAGATGCTCTGTAGATACGATGCCGACGAAGACAGCGCCCCAATACGATATGACGCCCAAGAAATTCTCCAAAGACTCTTCTAAAGAGGCGCTAATCGGAATAGCTGCTCCAATGACGATTGCAGTGGTAATGACAGAGAAGATATATCTTGGGATCTTGCTGAAAATTGGGAGAAGCATTTGAAACTGCATGGTGATGGCATACATTGTTCCAGCAATGTTGCCAAGAAGGGAGAAAGCAATAACCACGGCGACGAATTTGCCGAAGCCTCCGGCGGGCCTAAGCATCTCAAGCATCACACCACCAGTTGAACCTTGTTCGAAGGCTGCCATCCAAGACTCAATGCTAGGTGTTGCGCCGCCAATAGCTGCACCTAGGCACATGAGCGGAATCGTAGGAAGAACAAGACCGCCGTAGGTGTATAGGAAGATACGCATCCTAGGTCAAATATCAGTATTATTTTCCCATTGCTATCATTTAGATCTTACTTCGGAACACTTGGGTGAACGTAAACACAGAAGTCCGATACCATGGTGGCCCAAGTGACGGTAAAGGATATAACAACACAGCCAAATGTCAAGACGCGGCCCGCGGTGACTGGCTCAGCAGCAGCTTGGTGTTTAAGAAGGTGACCGCCACATCCCACGGTGATGAGGATAGCAATGAGAGCAGGAATCCACGCCCAGCGCTCATATGTATGGACAACTCGATAACCCAGGAAAGCAATCAGGAGCGAAGCAATAGAGATGACGACAATTCCGAGGTCCCAGCTTAGGCCACCGCCGCTGACTGCAGAGAGGGTTTGCCCAGCAATGATGACGCTCACAATGGACCAGCCAACTGTTGTCGCCAAGTTAAACAAGGCAACAATGAAGATTGCGTAGAGTCCAAAACTGTAACGAGCTTGCACGATTTGTCGCATTCCAGTCTGTGGACCAAGTGTTCCCAGAGCCGATGGCGGGATAGCCGCGAAGAGAGTGAAGAAGAGGATTGTCAACGATGCGGCTTGCAAACTTAGCCCCTGGAACAAGGTTCCGACAAGACCCGTCGTAATGGCCAGAGGGGTCAAACTTGCGGTCCACCAGAAGGAGAAGATGTTGAACGGTCGTGTGTCGTTTCTGTCTTCGAGAGGGACGGGCTGAACGCCACGAGTCTCTACTCCATAAGAGGCGAGACGCTTCCACCACGGCTGCGAAACTTCAATGCATTGCGACTCTTCTGTGGTCGATTCAACAGCCGAATCTGCCGCTCTCTTTTCCATATCGTCATTGCCATTTCTGCTGCCGTACTCCATGAGAGGCAATCCGATATCCAAAAGAATACAATCTGCCAGGACAGAAATTGAAGCCGAGATTTTGAACGAACAATATCCTTGGGAAGGATTCACAGCAAGTGATTTCTTCGACGGGACGCCGAACCCTACATAAGTGTTCCAAGACGAGAATGAAGCTTCTTGCTGTTTGCCACTCGCATAAGCCACTAGATATGAATGAATGATAACAGGTCTTGGCGGCTCGGAAGATTACCTCGCGATAGGCATCTTCCTGCACGCAAGAAGCAAAGTCTTCAAGCGTGACCTACTATCTCTGACTGAAGATTGCGAAAGCGTCTAGTGACCGCTTATCTAGGTTATCTCGACCCGCCGGTCGAGTTCGAGACTCCCGGCGGGATCTCCTGGTGGGTCAAGCGTATCTGCGGCACATGAATTTGCCCCATCAACATTTCAAGACAAAGGATGCTGATGAAGCTAATGGTCAATCAACTAAGCTCATTAATGGCTAGTACTTAATATACGAAATGGCACAGGTGGATTGATAGACAACGATCTTACTTGTTGAAGATAGCTCTTTAGTCGGCAAACGCAAAGCGGGCATTTTCAATGAACCTGGCTATGGCGATATAAGGTCAATTGTTCACGTCACAATGCAGCGTGTCATGGGCTCATTTTTATTGATACCTCGTGAACTCAAAGCGGTCTCCTAACCTTGCAGGAGGTATCTTGGGCGTGCTGACTGCGACGTTGCGTGGAAGCCTCAATTGCCACTACCTCCGAGGATTTTCCTCTTTATTACAGTACTACAAAACATATTCATCAAAAGTGAATGGTGTGATCCTTAAGTGATGTTACTTGACTGAGAAGTCGTGTTTTCCTGTGCCCTAAGTTTCACGCTCTACAGTTTCCTATAGTCGATCGCCTCCAGCAACTCGTCCTTGCAACTAGCAGGGGCGTTCACGACGTTGCAATTGGCAGCAACGCCACCCTCAAAGCGTGCCGCATACTCCACCATCCATCTCGAACTCATACCATAGGCCGGATAGTCAGTACTCAAGATTTGAGCGCCGCTAGCAAGGGCATGCTCCATGTATGACGTATTGACGATCGTCGCCATATGGTCATCAGCAAAGGTTCGGACCCAATAGTTTCCCTTCACTTGTTCTTGGATGTTGGCTTGGAGCTCGTCTGTTTGCGGGTGGTTTAGCTTTTGAAAAGCACAATCAGGAGAATTGGGCTGTGAGTTAGTGAAGACGACACGGCCTTCCAGACTAGGGCGACCTAATAAAGATGAAATGTTAGTGCCATGCCAATAAAGAGATTCTAAGCATCAGCGAACAGTACGTACCATCTGTGTAAGGTTGGTTGATCTCAGAAAAGGTACTGTCCATAAGAAACATCACGCGACCCCTGGCAGATTCTAGATCGGGCCAACCGTAGGTCAGCACGGACTCCTCAAGGGTTAAGTTGCTACGACGAATGTAGTCCGAAGTGATCATCTCATCCTCGGCAAATACAGAACCGAACTCGGCGTCGAGGGCTGCCAAGTTTTGTGTGTCATTCTAATAAGGGTTGGTGCCCCGCCCTGAGCAGCAAAGTACGTGCCCAGCTTAAACTCGGTCATGATAGAAATGGGAACATGCCGTGGGTGAGCCTTGGACCAGTCACGAATGACTTGAAGGCAGGAAACTAGAGCATAGCAAGAAGCCTAGACGTCAACATCAGGAATATGCATATTTTTTGCTCCTGGTTTAGCTAATTGATCAGTTGGAGGACTAGTGACGTTGGTCTTGTTGACAATCAACGGATTGGCGTAAGCATCTCCCTCAGGATCGGGCCAGATATCCAACGCCAGGCATCTCGCTCTCGGCGTTCTTGGTCTCGTATGGAACCTCGTAGTGATAACTGTTGTGAGTACCGTAGACCTAGATGTGGTTCATTCAGACTGCATTCTCTGTCTCATTAAGGCCATGCTGCGTATACTGAGAGCCCGGCTTGCACAAAGAGGCACTGACAGATGTGATTAGAACTATGACGTGTAAGGAGAACTAATGGTCTATATTGTATGATCCCAAGTACTGCACACGAAAAGAAGCAGTAGTTCCGAAAACCTTCGCTCTAGATGAGCCCTAGCCCAAGATTAGTGACTGCTGTACTTTTACGGTTCAAAATTTCTCACCATATTGAGCGAATCCCCTTATGTTTCGGTGTTTGGAATTATGTTTATCAAAATGCTTGCCGACCACTTTCCCCCAAGTCTTCTATCTTTTAGCACTTTGAGGACTTTACTTTGGTATTTATATACTCATTGTTAGAGCCCTCATAACGAGTCCCAGCTCCGTAACCAGCCTTCATTTGATGTAAGCAGCCATCCTTTTTTTTTTTTTGGTTCTATCTTCTACTTCTTTAGTAGATACTCATTCCTAAGCCCAATTATATCCTACATCGGTGCTTTGACATCGACGATTTGAGCGAACGCAAACAGCACGTGGCCCATGTGCTAGATATTAGCTTTCTAAAAGACTGATTAAACCGTCCAGGAGCCATAGCACGATCAATTTGATAATTCGCGCGTAGAACGTAGGAGACACTACACCATAGACGATTGACTATTTTTTATTATTTCGTTCCAAAGTAATGCATATTTGCCTCAGTAATACTTCGCTCGCGCACACAAGTAAGATAAGTGAAGATATAGATAACTTGAAACGTGATATCTAAGAACCAAGTTGCGGTGTCCGACACTACCCGGTGCACTTTTCCCGCCGCAGATTGATAGTTGAGCCGGCCAATGAATCATGTAGTCTAGTGCATGTGTCAACACTTTAAAACACACGTGCCAGGTCCTTAGCAAAACCGCAACATAGATTTTGAAATGGCGTATCATGATATTCAAAATACAAAGTAGGCAAAAGAAGATGTGAAACGAATTGCGGGTGAATTCTGCAAAAAGTAAAGTAAGATTTTTCTTTGTCAGTGATGCCATTTGTGACTGTCTACGGTTCCCAGACTGCTACATCGTTTTGGGGGTTAGACTAATTTCACCACCCAACACCAGTTTTAATGATAGACGAAGACACGAACGGAAAGACTTGGCTTATTGGCATTTCGACATGTTGCCAATGTGGTATAGCATACACGATGTGAGACATTGTGGAGAGCATAATATGTACACTCTGCGGGGAACCTGGGGATATGATCAGCCGGAATTGACTACCACGTTCTTACCGGATCGCCCGATTAGCCGGCTACGACGCCAATGTTTGTGGTCGTCAACACAATTGGAAGCCGTTGCAGATGCATTGTAAGAAGTGAGTTCAATTAGAAGAGAATGGGACTGTTACCCATTGTTGTTCAACATGCTCATGAGTTTCACCTTTTTAGTTGAATCGCAAGATGGGCCTCATAGCTGCTCTTGAGCTTCTAGTATTAATCATATCTGGCTCTGCACGAGCTGGGTTGATCTATCCAGATTGCTCAAATGGGGTTCTCAAATCGAATTTAGTCTGCAATACCTCTGCCACACCGGATGCAAGGGCTTCTGCTCTCGTGGCTGCGATGTCAAACAGTGACAAGCTTGCGAACCTCATTAAGTAAGTCTTCTCACCCAGCCCGGGTCGCTAAAAAGTCTCGTTCTTGTAGCACAGTAGTATCCCAAGCAACTATGAATGTGTCGGCTAATTCTGCTACCGTGCTCAAGCAATTCTCCTGGTTTCTCAAAGCTTGGGCTGAGCCCCTACCAGTGGTGGAATGAAGCTCTACATGGGGTTGCTCACAATCGCGGCATTACTTGGGCACAATCTGGAGAATTCAGCGCCGCGACGCAATTTCCGCAAGCTATAACGTCGGGAGCGGCTTTCGATGATGCACTAATAGAGCAGATCGGTATTGCTGTAGGCACTGAGGCTCGTGCATTTGCCAATGCTGGAAGAGCTCACCTTGACTTCTGGACACCAGACATCAATCCTTTCCGAGACCCAAGATGGGGACGTGGCCACGAGACTCCAGGCGAGGATCCACTCCGCAATGCAAAGTTTGCTGAGGCTTTCGTGAGAGGCATGCAGGGCACGGAAGGAACCAAGCGAGTGATTGCTACATGCAAGCATTTTGCGGCCTATGATCTCGAGGGTGGTGGATCAACAACGCGATTTAATTTTGACGCGAAAATATCACAGCAGGAGCTCGTCGAGTACTATCTGCCTCCTTTTAAACAGTGTGCTCGGGACTCCAAGGTTGGAAGTATCATGTGCGCTTATAACGCTGTGAATGGTGTACCTGCATGTGCGGATACATACATGATGGACACAATCCTTCGGAAACATTGGAAGTGGGAAGGTGAAGGCCAATACATCGTAAGCGACTGCGATGCGGTCTATTATGTGGGTAATGGCAATGGCGGCCATCGGTACAAGAGTAGTTATGCACAAGCCATTGGAGCCTCATTCGAGGCCGGTGTGGACAATATCTGCTGGGCAACCGGGGGAACGCAGCCTGATCCAACCAGCGCATTCAACCAGCGCACATTCACACAGGCAACACTTGATCGTATGATGGTGCGACAGTTTGAGGGCCTCATCAGGGCAGGGTATTTCGACGGATCCAAAGGGCTTTATCGAGAGCTCGGATCAAAAGATGTGAACAGCGCAACCAACAGAGATCTAGCCTTACGTGCGGCACAAGAGGGTATTGTTCTTCTGAAGAACGACGATAATGTTTTACCGTTAGACCTAAATAGCACTGGTCCTAACTCCCCTGTGGCGATGATAGGATTCTGGGCGAACAAGGCTGACTCAATGCTGGGTGGGTATAGCGGTTCGCCACCATTTAATCATGATCCTGTGACGGCAGCTAAATCGATGGGCATCAACGTCAACTATGTCTCTGGCCCGCTTACCCAGAGCAGTGCCGACACATCGGCTGCTGTAGCTGCGGCGCAAAAGTCGAAGATTGTTATATATTTTGGTGGAATTGACAACACCGTGGAAAAGGAGAGCACCGACAAATCATCCATTTCCTGGCCGGCTGGGCAACTCTCGATGGTCCAGAAGCTCGCAGCAGTGGGGAAGCCAATAATAGTGGTAAAGCTCGGTACACATATTGATGACACGCCACTTCTGAGTCTTCCGAACGTCAAGTCGATTCTATGGGTGGGATATCCAGGCCAGGATGGTGGTACTGCTATTCTTGACATCATTACAGGAGCCGTTGCCCCAGCAGCTAGGCTACCGATGACAATGTATCCAAGCAATTACATAAACCAGGCCCCTATAACAAATATGGCTCTACGATCATCTGGCTCATATCCTGGACGCACGTATCGTTGGTATAACACAAGTACTTCGGTGTTCTCTTTCGGACATGGACTGCACTACACCAATTTTACCGTCGTGTTCGGGGACTACCCGAAAACATTTGACATCAAAATGCTTGTCGCTAGCTGTAACGAAACTTACTTGGACTTGTGCGCGTTTCCCGCGTTGCCTATAAATGTTACCAACGTCGGACAGCGTGTAAGCGACTACGTGGCACTGGGGTTTGTAGCAGGGACCTATGGACCAACTCCTTACCCAATCAGGGCTCTGGCGACTTATGCACGACTATTTGGAATAGAAGCAAACCAAAGTCGTACGTTAGATCTGGCATGGAATCTGGGAAATCTCGCCCGTGTAGATGAAAAGGGTAACACAGTGTTGTATCCCGGAACCTATCATGTTTCCATAGATTGGCCGTCAATTGCGACATTAACCTTCGAATTGACTGGTGACGAGTTTACTCTCGATTATTGGCCACAACGGTCTTGATACAGAATAGACAAGTAAGATCATCAGTCCTTGAAGCCAGGTGCTGTGGATACGGTCGGCGTAAGCACTGTCAGTCCTATTGCTGCCCTCAATGATGTCACGCAGTAACATCAGGTGTCATTCTCAAGACCAGAATTGTAGAGTTCAAAGGCCATACTAGATCGCATAAATTGCTCTTGGAGCTCCCGGAGGACAAGCTGTGTCTGCGGACTAGTATGGCCTTGGTCCCCTGTAACCCCAGAAATCCACAAGATAAAAGGAGTTGATTACAGAAACCTTTTGAAAGCCTAGCATGCTAGATTTATAGGATAGCCATCTATATCTCCTCTGCTGACCCCGAAGACCAAGCTTACAACTTTTGTGTTGCCGAATGTGCTCTCCATATTCCTCACCCTTGAGGACATAGAAAATCGAAAAATCTCAGACCCAACCTTAACATCAACCCAGTTAGATAGACCTTTAATGCTGGTTGCATGAAGCTCGAGATCTTCCCAAGACATGGTACGCTCGCTGTGGCTTTGTTGAAAAATGTATGCTGCTTCTCGAGGGTGTTGAGATAACTGGAACACTTTGAAGATAGGAATTGCTCTTCTATAGTCGCATAGAACTACGACCTTCACAGGCGTTTCTCTTAATAAGCCTTCGAACAACATACCAATGACCATAGAATATCTTGTTAATCCGTTTGGGTCTAGTTTGAGGAAAACTCTGTCCGTGTGGTCCCATAAAATCCCTGGAAAGGACTTCTTCAACTTGAAACTAGGGTGTCGCGGGACGTGGAGTGCATGTTTCCTGAAGGAAGACATGGAAACTATGCTGGAAGTGGTGGGGTCGATGAGAATGAATTTGTCACTGGCATCAAACATCCCAATTTTGCGGATCTCATTCTTGCCGAAGTCTGACAGGGAATAATTCCCGACCCGATAGAAAAGCCTTGGGCCGACTTTTCGGAGGTAAATACCTCTATCATGTGGATTGTAGTAAGGCGCCTTCTGAAAAGCTCCCAGGTTGAGACCGTACAATGTCTCTGTAGTAGAGCCCTCCGTGCGAACCACGGCAACTCGCAGCGGTATATCACCGGCGAGTAATAGACCCTTGTTTGTTACAGTGAAGTTGGACAGATTGTTGCGTAAAGGTATGATAGAGCGACTTTCCGCGAAAGCTCTAGGGGCTGTCGCGAAAAGGGAGAGGAATTGCGCGTTGACAAGTTTGGGAGCATCCCAAGCAAATATAGTCAAGTCATTGCTAGTCTGAATAATTTCGTTTTGGAGACGTCGGAAAGCTTTGCTGCCTTCGCCGTACAGCAGCGCCATGTTGAGGTTGAAAATCCCCAAGAGACAATACGCCATGTCTTCAACACGGGTAGTTTGCCTACGAGCAGCCCACGACATTCTTGGTGCCACAGATGAATCAGAGATCAGTGCGTGTCCTCGGAGAATGTCGATCGGGATTCCTGTAAAGCCTGAAATGACGGACGCAAACTGCTTTTTTGTTCCTCTCTTGTTCCAGTCACTGTCATAGAATTCAACAACATCAGGAGCAAGCAGCTCCTGGAGTGTCCAGCCTCGAGTAAACCAGCGGCATTTGGGGAGAATCATTTCGGTTAAGCCGTCCGGAGGTAAATCTGCAATGAACGCGTAGCATACAGCCGCCTTCGCGTACCACTGAAACATGGAGTTGATGGACTCGCTGAGTTCCGCACTACTCGACTTGTCAATACAGCAGGTATCAACCCACAGAAAAGCGAAGCCATTTTGTCTTGCCAAGTGGCAGGCCTGTTGAATTTTCTCATATCCTTTGCCGAGGGCTTGACGAGGTGAAAGCATATCTTGAAAGCTGGCTTCTTCGTCGCCCCAGGTATGTGAGAGTATGGCATAACGAGGTATCTCAGACTCGAGGAATTCATGAAGCTCGTAATTGAATGTATTAACGAGCCTCATGCTTTGAGAATTAGACAGTATTAGAGTAGGTGCCAATAGAATCAGTTTCAATAGATGGGAAGCAGACTTATCACGCTCGGTGTCGTTAGGACTCAAGATTATTTGTCGTTTTGTCTTGTGTAAAAACCAAATACCTGAAGGCTTTGGTAGAGTGACAAAATGTGCATCAATCAGAGGATTCGCACCAGACAAAATAAACCCTGTGTGTGAAATGCAGGAATTAGAAATTGGTATGGTGGACTCTCTCCGATATTGAATTCACAACGACGATGCTGACCATACAGGGCAATGTCAAGAGCATTATTTTGCAAATCCATACACGCAGTAGAAACATCGTTTTTCTCGCACAATGCATTTATGGAGTATTTGGGCCGTGAGCTGCGTTTAGGCTGTTGACCCGTGGCTGCCTGCCCTCAGTCACTACATTGGATTGGCCGATAACTCAGATCTCATTCCAGGTCTATGGACAAAGATTGGGCACGAGAAAATGCAACAAGTCCCGTTAATGCTTTATGTGAATAACAGGAACCGTGCCGCAAAGCCGTTTCGTTTTGTATAGAGTGACTTCGGCTAGAATATTATTCCGATCATCTCCAGAATGCGAGGGTTTAATCCGACCTACCTACTGGAGGGTTTTGTACTGGTGGCTGGGGGTGTTGCCTAGAATGTGGGTCCGCCACACCTTTGCGCTGTAGAGCCTCGAGAGCCTCTGAGGAGATATCTTTCCCACGCGACATAATCATCTTCTTGGCGACTATTAGTCGACTGTGACACTTTTTTTTTCAAAAAAAAATCGAGACTGACACGATTGCGAAATGGAAATCTCGCCGGAACTCTTTGTCACCCTCCCAAACAGAGTACGCATCTGTTACCAGACTTTTGGTAATCCCTCGGACCCGGCTGTCATTCTCGTCCCGGGCAACGCGGGCTCTATGCTCGAATGGCCCGAAACCATGATTGAGCAGCTCAACTCGGCTGGCGGTGGCAAGAACCGCTTCTTCATTCGCTATGATCCGCGCGATACTGGCCTCTCAACCGAGTTCCCCGTACCTGGCGGCTACTCCATCGGTGATATGTCGACGGACGTTGAGGGCCTAGCTGACCACCTCGGGCTTAGCGCACCTTCAAAAGGCTTTCACCTCGTTGGCGTGAGTAAGGGAGGTCCCGTCGCATACATCGTCGCCGCACGCAGACCTCAACAAGTCCGGAGCCTTGCACTGTTGTTGACATCCCCCGGCGTGAGCCCCGAGCTACCCATGAAGGAAGGGCTTGATCTAGGTTTTCAGCCCATTCTTGCGGGTTCCGGAAATGAGAGAGAGATGAACATTAAGTATAATATGCAGCTATATGACGCCCTCATCACGGAACCCGACGAAGAAGGGCGAAAAGAGTTTGAGGCCTTGACGCGGCGAATCGTAGAGCGGGAGGCCAAGAGCGGTACCTTGTACAGTAAAGGGCCTAATCATGGCATGGCATCGCATGAAGGAGAAGGTTGGCCAGGAGTAGAGACGCTCAAGAAGGTAAAGAGTCCAACCGTGGTCGTTCAGGGAGCGAAGGACCCGATTTTTGGAGAGATTCATGGAGAGGCACTGGCGCGAGCGATACCAGGCGCCGAATATGTCTTGTGGGAGAACGTCGGTCACGAGTTGCCAAGACGCATCTGGGGACAATTAGCTGAGATGCTTCAGCAATTATGGGCCAAGGGTGAAAGCGACCAGTGATGCGCTGATGCCGTACAGGCGGCTGGAGAGTGTCTCGCTCAGAGATGAACACAAAACCAGTATGATCAAGGCGAGACAGGATGGGGCTGCCTGGCAACATCGCTCCAGCGCTTCCAGAAACGATGGACCCGGAGAAAAAGAGTGGAAAATGGGTTGTCTGTAGCACCAGAGTCTCTTCAGGGCGGGTCACTGGGAAGAACCACGGATGAACCATCAACTGCCTAGATGGATTTCGTTCAGTGACGGATCATAGTGTCTCGATTTGCTTTTAGTATGAGAACCGCCTCCGGGATCTAGCAAGGATCTTCATTCAAGGAATTCGCGGGCCCAGTATTTCGATGCTTATTACCTATGGAAATGAAGACTTGGTTGATTCAGCGGGAACAAGGGGGTGGCCTGGACTAAACGAGAAGATCGCTAATTAGTACCGGATCAAGATAATCTCAACTGGAGTTAATTCAGTAAAATTTCCTCAATTGTGTGGTATAATATATACATGAGAAGCATAATTAGGTCGGCTATGCAGCCAATCTTGAGTCTACCTTGGAGCAATCTATGTGACAGTAATTATGTACTGTATTACAATAACCAATAAGTGTTGATAACCCCAAGTCCGTCCGTGGCCAAAAATTTCCCTTTTGTGTATGTTCCAACCGCCAATGATCCCGGATTAAAACCTTTCCGTCATGCAGTCGTGATAAATGCTGGCCCATGATAAAGCCGTATGGACATTTTGATAAATGATAGGAGAGAAATGAAAGACGAGCTAGTCAGCTCGAAAAGATTGCTTATGTGATTTAGAGAAGAGCAACAACCACCATGGCGGCGGCAGCAAACTCGACGCCGGAGCCAAGGCGGACGGCGGCGTTGGTGACCTGGACAGGACCGGTCGTGGTGGCGCTGGGAGACTCAACGGGGACAGAGGTAGAGCCAACCGGGGTGGTAGCAGCCACAGTGCTGATGGTGGTCTGAGGCTGCTGAGGGTAAGTGGTAGCTGGCTGAGAGGCCTCGGGCTGAGAGGCAGGGTATGTCTCGGTCTCGACAGGGGTGGAGGTCTCGGGAACCGGAGCCGGAGATGTCTCAGTCTCAACAGGGGTGGTAGTCTCAGGGACCGGGGCGGGGGAGGTCTCACTCTCAACAGGAGGCTGAGGAGAAGAGCTGGGCTGGTAGTAGGTGGTGAAGCTGTGGGGAACCTCGCTGGTGACAGGGCAGATGGTGGTGGAGACAGCCACAGTCTCGGTGGTGGTGTGAGGCTTGTTCGGGCAGTTGGTGACCTCGGGGGCGCAAGAGGTGACGGTCCGAACAGTTGTCGTGTACACGGTGCTGGTGGTGTACGATGTCGCCGGCTGAGACTGGGACGGTTGAGAGATGACCGAGGTCTTGGTGACGATTGGGGTAGTCTCAGTCACCGGACACACGGTGGTAGAGACGGCAATTGTCTCAGTGGTGGTGTGCGGCTTGTTGGGGCAGTTAGTGACCTCAGGGGCACAAGAAGTCACAGTGCGGACGGTGGTGGTGTAGACAGTTGAGGTGGTCCAAGATGTAGTCTCAACTGAGCTGGAGCTCTCCGGATAAGGAGTTGTCTCGACGCTGCTGGAAGACACAGGGTAGGTGGAGCTGACAGCGGTTGAGGATGTTGAGCTCTCAGGGCATGGGGTAGTCTCAACGCTGCTAGAAGAGACTGGGTAGGTGGAGCTAACAACAGTCGAGGATGTCGAGCTTTCAGGGCAAGGGGTGGTCTCGACAGGGTAGCTTGAGGTAGTCTCGACGCTGCTAGAAGACACCGGGTAGGTGGAGCTGACCGCAGTTGAGGACGTCGAGCTCTCGGGGCACGGAGTTGTCTCAACGCTGCTGGAGGAGGAGACAGGGTAGCTGGACGAGGACTCGACAACGGAAGTAGTTGAGCTCTCGGGGCAGGGAGTGGTCTCCACGCTGCTTGTGGTCACGGGATAGCTGGAGCTTGGCACAACGGAAGAAGTGGATGATTCCGGGCAAGGTGTCGTCTCAACGCTGCTGGAAGAGACGGGATAGGTCGAGCTGATCTCAGTGGACGAGGTAGACGAGGTAGAGCTCTCTGGGTAGGGAGTTGTCTCGACACTGCTCGTGGTGGTTGAGACAGGGTAGCTGGAGGTGCTGCTCTCCTCGCAGTCCTCAGAGGATGTGGTGGTGGGAGGGACAGACACGCTTGTGCTGGTCTCACAATCCTCAGTAGAGGTGGAAGTGGTCTCATAGACGCTGCTGCTGCTCGAGACCGGGACACTGGAGGATGTCTCAACAGGATAAGAGCTGGTAGTAGGAACCACAGACGTGGTAGTCTGAACTGGGTAAGAGCTGGTGGTTGACACGACCACGGACGATGAGCTGCTGGCTGTCAGGGCATAGGTGATGCATGAGCAGGCGGAGGATAGGGCAGTGACATCGGGGCAGCCGCCAAAATCCGTGGGAACGGCGGCGGCGCCAGTGGTGGTGCCAGAGAGAAACTCAGGGCAGAACTCATTGGCCTCCTGCTCATAGCGAGAATCAATTAGGTTGCGATAGCAGCCATCGTGCTCCTGGGACAGGGTTAGTCTCATGTATCATGCCATGTGTGTTGCTTCTGCAATGAAGTCGAAACGTACGCAGTAGGGGTACTCCCAGGCCTGGACGGTCGCGAGGGCGAGGGCGCCCAATCCTGCATAGACGGCGCGCATCTTGAATGTTTGATCCTGACTTGACTCTTCCTTTCTCTTGCTGAAGCGAATGACTGGCGACCCTAACGAAACGGGTTGCGAATATAGCCTTTTAAAAAGGTCTAGCGAATGACTGGCCTATTAACCCAAGCGTCCTTCTTTTCTTCTTGTCGACTGACTGACGGAGTGAGAGGAGACACAATCCAACGTTGACCTGGAGATCAGGAGGAGCAGGCTCCCCTAAAAAGGCCTCGTTGACGCCTCATCAGCCAAATCGGGCGATCGGGAGATCGAGAGAGCAGGGGGGGCCATCGCATCTGAATTCTGGGGCTCTTTGAGTATCCAAGGATAGCAACAGGCAGAATACGAGCGGAATGGCTGGTGATCGGCCAGTTGGGCGGTGCCCACTCGGGCCTGCACGCCCCTGATTTCTACATGGGAATCGTGAAAAGCCTGCAATTGTTGCATCATCCTGCAGGTAGCGCTGGGCGCCTACAGTCATAGTGGTCGAGACCGAACTGGGAGTGCCCCGACAACGGGCTCCACCGAGGAATCATGGAAGGCGACCTGGGAGAAGCGAAGCGAGACCGTAGTCAAGCGCAGTCAAGGTAGTCCTTGGTAACTTGCTGAGAAGCAAGTTGTGGATGGAGTTTTCCTCGGATGAAACGGGCGCCTAGTGCACATTGAGTATCCCATTTCCCTTAGTCAGTTAGTCAGGGGGGCGTGGGCGTTAAGATGGAGGGCGGGCGGGTGGTGTGTGGACAAAAGACGTTGGATTTTGTTAGCGAGTGGACCAGCCAGAGCGCAAAAGGCGGGCTGGGAATCGGAAAGTTCCACTCAGCGTCTGGGCTTTTCACGGTGCACGTGTGTATCCGCGGGCTACGTGGTCCTGGTGGGCAAGCTGAGGAGTCTTTTGTTGTCTCTCGGTTGTCTCTCTTTTCTTCCGTGTAGCCTCTCAAGCCTCTTGGTTAGTAAACTGGAGAAGAGACTAAACCACCTGGAGCTACTTCACTTGCTCGTATCCACAGAAATACCGATAGTTCGGGCGCCACGCGGGCACCGGAGGCCAATAGTTAGACAGAGACCCGGACCGTTGGGCCCGCCAGAGTCTCACCATCCGGGATCTACTGGCAATTGGAGTGGGTCGGCGTGGTCCATATATATCTCTCTACATGAGTATAGCGCTATACGTGCGTCTATGTGTGTGTGTGTGTGTGTGGGTGGTGAAAAGCCCGTTTCTCTGCACACACCCACTCGACCTCTTCTGATGTCCTGCATACACGACTTTTCTTCTGACGCCGTCCAGCCAATCCTTTGATTCCGAAGCCGGTTTGGGCACTACTGAGCCACCCTCTCGCCTGAGTTGCCCCTGCGTCGATGCCGTCGGCCGAACGCAACCGCTCGTATCCATTACGCAGCACTGGACCGAGGCTTCGCTTTTGCTGTGCTGGCTACCAGCGTGGTCGTGTTCTTCTTTGTCGTGTGCTCCACTGTCTAGATAGATACTCTGCTCGCATTGGTTTATTCCTGTTCTTCGCGTCGTTGCTAAGGCATCCTGTCATGACTTAGCTCCCAAGCAGCCACTCGCAACGTCATCATCAGTGAATCTGATCACCAGATGCAAGGCACCAACCAGCCGCATCGGTGCTTCTGTGAGTCGCCCAAATGACCTCGAACCTGATTGATTCGCCACTGCCAGGATTAACCTGACCACCACTCAGCTGAGGGTTCTAGCCCTAGCGACGTAAATAGACCAAGATATGCCAAGATACGCCCGCCCCGCCTCAAGCCTCAGCTGTCATATGTCACGAATTGTTCTGTAATATTAAGCGTCATGCACCTATAGCTCGATGCAAAGTAAAATCTTCTCATGAACAGAACCTGGGGTTGCGCATAAGGCCATTCTGCACTGTGATAGTCACCATCACCCGGTACGACCGGCTCAGTCGCTGCCGTCAAGCGAAGGAGCCGGCAATCAGCGCGGGCTCGCGGGACCAAGTGGGCGAGCCGAGATGACCGAACATGCAATGACTGATCGATGACGCCCGAGTGGACATTAGACGAATGCTAAAATCTGATCGTGTCCGCAAAGTTTACACAAATCTTGTGATGGCTCCACTGGACGTTTCTCTCTCGAAGTGAGCTCGTATCAAGCTTGGAAGTCAATCGGATAGTGCTTCTCCAGATTGACCAGCAGGTGGCCGACGCTTAGTCTCACTTCTGCTCAGAATCTACGACGCCAAGTCTTGATGCAAGCCATGCGTGCATGTTCCGGTTCACTAAAGCGCGCGGAAACATTATCGCGGCCCCTTGAAATTGTTACAGCCTGTAATGTTATCTTGGTTGAATGCCCATGATGGCCTCAATCGAAAACAACCCCAAGCAACATTTCAATACTCCTATATTCATGCCAAGCCGTATGTCTCATCGACGGCTGCTCACCCCACCTCCTCGCCAACTCATCCGACTTGAGCCGTTAACTCCTCGCCATGGCTGCTGCTCATTGTAATATTCCTGGCTTCTCGCTGGGCTGCACAGGTTCATTGACCTCAGCGTGGTCTCGGTGGGGTATTGAATGATCTACCATGGCCTGATCAGCAGCCTTTCCTGGAGGTCGAAGTCGGCTCCGGCTATCCTCTTAGCCTTATCTCTTCGATATCTCGGCTGAGCGAGCTCAGCACTACCCTACGGGCATGTAGCTTGTCTGAACATGGCTTTTCTCCAGGCTCTTCCGCCCGCTCTCGTAGCGATCATCGCACCGTCGATAAGATCTTCCTACAAACACTTATTGACAAATGGAAACCGCCTTCCATACCCTTTAGCGTTTCCGGGTCTACGCGTCTGGCCCTACTTATAGCATGGGGGAGCATTTAGGGTGCCGCTAACATCTATCACCGCCGCTGCCTTGGCTTTTACTCCAATCTAACGGAACCCATCGAAGGATTGATACAGGAAGCCTATACAGCAGCAATTGAGGACATAGTCGTCAATATCAGCTTTCTCACGAGAGCCTTTCAGCAATGTGGGACCTGCATAGCTAATTCCATGGCTCGGCCCATAGCTGTGATGGGAAGTGAGTGCGGAGGACGTGCCACCGCCCACCTGCAAGACGACGTGACCAAGATCATAACTACCATAAGCGAGACTTTTCTCCTGCCACATTTGTTGTTTTTGCTTGAAGTTCTCCAAAAGCTGTGGGAGAGACAGGCGATGTGCGAATCACGGGCCTCCAATGAATGCATAAGCTTGGAGCAGGTGACGCGGGATAATGGATTGTGTATATCACTCCTATGATTTGTCGAGTACAGCGCCATTGATATGACTTGATAAATCAGGAGCAAAAACAAAGTCAGGTTACATCTGTGCCCACCTTACGCATTCAAACGCTTTCACTACTAGTGGGTTCGAGTCTTCCAACTAATATAGTGCCAGATTGCTGTCTACATAATGCCCTAATCAGAGAGAGGCCTGTCGCCTCAAAAAAAAAAAAAAAA